ACATCCTGTGCATTGTGACATCATTCTGCATGCATGTGGTCAAAACATCAAGATTGCAGCCACAACAGTGTGATCAACACACCACCTTCTTTTCATTTGCAACACACATTAAAAACAGACAGGACTGTGAAAGTTGTAACTCCATTTCAAAGAGATACTTTTGCCATACACCACCACACCTTACCTTTATTCAAAATATCATGAACAAGCACTGTACATGATAACAGCTGCAAAAATTATATATGCTTTTTATTGGAAAAGATCTCTGATTCTCTTTACGGAAGAATGTTAATTAAATGGGGAATATCTAGAATAACTTTGTATCTAAAAAAACAACTGTGATGTACGGTTCTTATTTGGAAACGGTTTCTGGAGTATAATTCTAGGCTTGGCATTGTGTTGCATCCCCAATTTGACTTCTGGAATTTATATTTTAATCTGATGTATTGTCTACAGGCATTCGTTGCCATATTCTTTCCATATATTGTTTATTTAAATATTTTCTTTTTCCTGTTATCAGTTTTCATGTTGTGAATAGAGGCATATGTCTACTAGGAATTGGTCATGAAATGTCTTAAGTTATTAATGGTGTATTAGAATATATTAGCTAGCGATAGTTTGGAGTGCCAGTTATTTGAAATGATATTGGTTATCCACCAGTAAACTGCTGCTGGCGTAGTTTGTGCATTTGTATCAGTATTATTTCTTTTCCTTTTTTTTTTTAAATTATAAAAACTAAATTAAAATTTAGAAGAAATCGGATCACACCATTGTAGCTGTCCTTTTGATTTTTTTGACCATATGCTTTAGACCAGGAATCAACTTTTCTTCTCACTTTTATCAATTCTGAAGCTATATGGGCCTGACAGGGTGATATATATATATATAGCAGGAGTGAAGATACATGACTCAAGCGTTTTACCAACAAACCCTTTCCTGAGTTCCTAGTCTATTCCCACTGGGCTGACTGTGCCAGTCAGGAATTTTGGAAGATGTAGTCTTTTTCCATCTGTAAGGTTAGCCCAAATCAGATGGCATGTTATGTGATTTCATCTTGTTCAGTCTTGTACATTTTTTAGAAAAAGAAATAGGTTGGACCAATGCCGTATCTGCTTCCCATTTTAGGTGTGAGCAGAATCACAGGGAGCACCTGCCGTTAAGTCGCTATGCTCTGTCAATTTCCCACAATGCCCCCAAAGGATGCTTCATCCAGGGGTATTATGGGAAACTAATAATCAGCCAGACTCACACTGCTGAAATGGTTCATTTTTAATGCGATTCCCAGAAGACTCTTGACAGATGGATGGCAGCCCTGGAGATTAGGGACAGTGGTCACATGGTGCAAATCCCACCTCCCCCAGGACCAATTACACCCCCTCCCCCAGTGCAATCTTCTATTGAGTTTTCCTCACCAAACAAGCATAAGTCCAGACTTCCATGGGAATTTACATGGGAGACAGAAACCTTCGGACTCACGAAAAATAGCAGGAGGCTTTTAAATATGGTGACCATATTTTCTTGGGGAAAAAAAAAAACAAAGGACCAACAAATGATAAAGGGGCTAATTTGGCAGAGTTTCATCAGAATTAGAACATAATAATAATAATAATTGTTTATGTTGGTAACTTGGCTTTACAAAAGAAAACTGGAGAGCCGAACCAAGAAAAACTTCAACAAAACACACATTCTAAAACCAAACAGCCCGTGTACATTCGTTTAAAGAAGACAATTCATTTTCCACACGAACGATGTAAAAGCCGCTGCATGAAGCGGTATACATGGGTACCGCAAGAGTGAAATGACCTAAAGAGAGGACAAAAGTGAGGTTTCGAAAAAATAAATATATCCCAAAAGGACATCTTTCTGCAGTCAAGGACTGGCCTTTATCATACAGGACTGGTGGCCACTGTAAAGCAAGGGGAATCTATATTTTTATCTGTATGAGTGTATGGAGAACTACAAATTATAGCCCGGAGGGACTCAAACAACATGTTTGGGATTCTGAACATTGCTCGGAGCAAGGAAAATCCACTCGTGTTGCTCACATGTGAGACGGGCAAGGCTGACATGGCAGAGATGGAGGACAGCGGTATGGGAGGGGGGGTTTATGGTTGCAGCTCGGAGATGCTGGTGGGACAGCTAGCACAGGAAGCCGAGGCAGGAAGTCTGAGGCCACAATGGCGGAAGCCTCTGTTGCTGCTGATAAGGACTGCTGGAGAAGCTCGGAGCTGCCCTTGTTAGCTTGGGGGGGTCTTTAAATAGCTCTCCCATCTTCTGTAATAAAGGATCAAGAGGAGGAGGTGATGGGAGAGATGTGTGCAGAGTTTCCTGTTTGGCTATTGAAATCCTAAGTCTGGGAGGAGGGGGAGGGGTTGGCGGTTTTACTGGCGCTTGGCCTCCTTTGCTCCAGCAATTCTTTGGCAACTGATGGGACAAAGGGACAGCAGAGGCTGGATCTGCAGAAGCAGGACTGGCTGGGAGAAAGGATCTCTCAAATTTGGAGGGATTGGGCTGGGTATGAAAATGGTACCCGGGACAGGAAAGCCTTCTTATCTTTGCTCTAAGAGACTCTTTAGGAGTTGCCCAGCTGAAGGGCTTGTCCCAGCCCTGGTAGGCAAGCTTGGAAAAAAACCTAATCAAACTGGGATGAGAGACCACGAGGAAACCTCAAGGGTGTAGATTTAGATTGAGCAAATGAAAAAGCCAGAGAGGTGAGCATATCTAAATTGTCACCAAGAAAACTAGATGGACGTCACAGGAGAAGACTATTTCTTGGGTAGATTGATATTCCACCTTTGCTCAAAGCTGCTTAGACAACTACTGCCATTCCTTTTATCCCCATAACAATAACCTGGTGAAATAGATTGGGATAAGAGAGTATGAGTTGCCCGAAATCACCCAGGGAATTTCCATGGCTGAGGATGGAGTCAGACGTGGCCTTTCCTCATAATTCATCCTTATAACCAAGGATTACTCAACCTTGGCAAACTCTTAAGAGGGGTGGACTTCAATTCCCAGAAGTCTCCAGCCAGCATGCTGTATAATATAGCAAGTTAGGGAATTCTATCACCATATCAAGAATAACATGGTGCTGGAAATTATGAAGAGATGCAAAAAGGATTTGTTTGAACAGGGGTTTTGCTATAGGATTTGCCATTACGAGGTGCCCTGAATTTGTCCCCAAAGTATCTCAAGAAGGTGCTGCAAAGCCATGGAGAAAGCATTCAGGAGGAAACTAGAAATAGTTTGCCTCTGAAACAATTGTTGTTAGAGGACACCAAGACCACTTGATTGCTTTTTGGCTCCATGTTGTGCGTGGGAGTTTCCCAGAAATTTTCCTTAATGGATGGAACGTTTTTGATCAGATCCAATCCACTCTTTTTGTATCCTTGCAATTATTATGGGAGGATCCTGGCATGACAAGAGAAGGTTCTTTTAACAACACCTCTGCTATGTAGCCCCACAAGCCGAGACTTGGCAAGTGACAGAATAAATAGATTTTGAAGAATCCACATTGCATAGCCCCGAAGTCAAATGTTCGTTGCTGGCTGGGGGATTCTGGGAGTTGAAGTCCACCCATCTTCAAGCTTCCAAGGTTGAGAAACACTGTCCTAGAGAGACAAACTGTCCCAAAGTCACCCAGGTGAGCTCATGCCTAAGGCGGGACTAGAACTCACTGTCTCCTGGTGATTGGCCCAAAGTCACCCAACCGGCTTTCATTCTTAAGGCGGGACTAGAACTCCTGATCTCTAGCCTGGTGTCTTCATCGCTCAGTCAAATTGGCAATTTTTTTCTCTTCTTGTACTTTTTAAAAGCAATAATTCATCAAATCTACGTTAGCCTTGCATCATCCATTAACAGCCCCTTGGTCTGCAGAGATAACTAGGCTCATATCACTGCCTTGCTAGATCTTCATCAGATGGCTTTTTCAAATCAAATTATTTTGAAAGCAGGAAGAGCAGAGAATCTGGGATGGGGTGGGGGTGTCTGATTAACTTGGCTTGACTTGAAGAAAACTGCAGAGCCTTATTTCTTTGGAAACTGAATCATTCTTTCTACATCCCATGGAAAGGCAGACTGTTAGGGCAACTTTTATCTATCCCTGCCACAAAATGAGCAGGGAAAGAAAAACAAACAGGCAACAAATCTTGGCCTCTCACGCCTGAAGCATTCCAGAAAATCCTAAAGTCGATGCCAAACCCAAGACTGGTTCTCAAGATTTGGGGGAACCCTCAAGTGAGAGAAGACATCAGCGTTCTCATTAACCTGGAAGTTGTGGAGCTGTATTCACCAGCTAATCCGAAAGGTCATAGAGAAGGAAGATGGATGGTGATGTTAGGCCAGGTCCTTTGCTAGTCGTGAGTCTATGCCTCTATGGTCTCTATGCGTCCCCTTGAAGCCAACTACTTCCAAGAGCAGCTCAGACAACAAAGCTCTGGCTTGCTGGTTTCGCTGTGACAGACCAAACCAGCTTCTTCTTTGCAAATGATTAAGCAAGGCTCCATTTCCCTCAACTTTAAAAATCTGAACAGGTCAGCACTAAACTACAGTTAAAATCCCAGCACAGATTCCTTCCTTGCCAATAATAATGCAAAACCGAAGATAAATGCATATCCTTAGAGAAGAGTTGACCCGGGGAAGAAGAAAGGTTCCCCTCAATGAATTCTGAAAATTCTCTACCAATCTAAGTTGATTGTTAATATTATTATTTTCTTCAAGAGCACAGCATGGTTAAATACAAGGCTTATGCTTGAGTTGATAAAATTTCGAAGCCACCAATGTTTATACAAGTCAGCCTCTGTTTGGCCAACCTGGTCAGGAATGTATGCTGCATAGGAAAACAAAATGTAAAAGGAGTGGACGAACCAAAAGCTAAAGTTGGAAATAATGAATGAATAAAAACAGCTACAGCTGGAAAGGATAAAAGCTTTATCAAAATTGAAAATGGATTAATGACAACAAGAATGCAAAATAAATAAATAAAAATAAAATGAACTGACCTCTTACCACAGGGGAGTCATTCCAATGTGGGGGTAACGTGTCCCCCAACATTTTGCATCCTACCCCGCACTTCTGCATTTTGGCATGGAGATGCCATTTTCATCTCTTGCCGGGCATCTTGATGGCTTGGGGAAACATATGTCCCTGTGTCCGGTTGCGACAAAGTATGGAGATCCCCCAAAACTCTCTCGTTTGGTTGGCCAGACTTAGCGGTGCAAGGGGCTCTCTGCTTCACAGCTGAAAGTGTCTGGTGGTGGTTTGGTTTGGGTTTTTTAAGCTCAGAGACATCAACCGCCACGAAAGGGAAGGAAGAGGAAATTTTTTTGTACCAGAAGGAAAGAGCGGAGGGGGGCCCTGTTTCTGGAGCTGGGTGTGTATGAGACAGAGAGGAACTGAACCAGAGACCAGCTCAGTGCAAACTGGAAGACAGAGACAAAGCGAGGGGGGGATCAGCTGCTAACAAAGATGGAGGAACTTCTCCAGAACTTACCTTGATGGTGCAATCCATGGCACGCCTCTACCTGCTGCTTTCCGCCTAGATCTCCATGGGCATTCAGATGAGTTGCATTGGCAGGGCTGATCTTGCGCAGGGGGCCGGATGAACAAGGCTTGGTGTGTGTGTATATGTGTGTGTGTGTGTGTGTGTGTGGTGTGTATGTGTGCGTCTAATTTTGGGAAGTGAAGTCACACAAACCGCCAGGGCTGGTTTCCTATTGGTGTGACCAAGCTTACAAGGCTCTGAAAGTTTTTTTTTTTTTTAATAGCATTGTTGGCTTAGATGCATTTTTTTCCTCTTCTTGTTCAAATTACAAATGGGTAAGTCAAGAGATTTTTTTTGAGACTGAAATGGAAGGGCAAGAGAGATGGCGGGGGGGGGGAGAAACAGAGAGGGACGAGGGCCAAAGAAGACCTGTTGTTGTTGTTCTTGTTGAAGGGTCATTTGATTTATTTTTGCAGGAAGCAAGACCAAGAGGGGTGCGCCCTATAAAAGTCAGGAGGACCCAATGCTTGATCTTTAAAGCAAGCGTTTTTTTATGGGTTGAAAATTAGCTTCTGGAGTCGGAAAGGCACTGTACACATTCAGAGGTAACTTCTGTCTTAGCCCCCCTGATTTGCGCCATGTTACCCTCTCCAGCTAAAGGGCATTGCTTACAGTGGGGCCTCCTAGATTGAGGACAGGCAAGCCTGAATTGAATTATGTACTGAAATTTAGATCTCAATGAGACCGGAATTGCAAACTGCTTATAAATTCATGCTCAGTGATTTCATCTGTAATCCTTGATTCTGTCTCAGCTATGTTACTGAATGCTGTTGCTCTGTTATGCAGTTGGTAGGGAGGTTATTTTAGTCTATTTGGGAGACTAACGTGATAGGTCAGTAAATGACCTGTGGGCACTCTCACAAAATGGCTGCCACATTGGACCACGGTGTAGCCAATCATGTCACGCTCCATGGTTGGGGAGACAATAGGATGAGATTATTATTTTTTTATTTATTTATGGCCAGCTTTCTTCCTGCTTTGGATGCTTTTGTTTTATTTTTTTATTATTTTCTGTACAGGTGGTCTCTCTTCTCAGCAAAGAAATAACCTGAAATTCCTGAGCTTTTGTTGTTGTTGTTGTTGTTGTTGTTGTTGTTGTTGTCTAGAGATTCTTATGGAGCCTCAAGTAAGGATCTGGTGGCATTCCTATAAAAATGATGTCGAGGCTGGAGCTTTGTTTGGCAGTAGGGTACTTCTCTCTTCATTTACTCATGTTTTCTGCTTAATCAAAGGAATTAAAAAATAATAATTGAGGTGGTGTAGAGACATTGACTGACACAATAGGTCAATGGGCAGGTGAGGACTCACCTAATCCATTTATGAAATCATTTTGTTAGAAAGAAGGATATGACATCAGTGAAATTCCAGTCAATTTTGTCTGGGTTAGGAAAAAGCTGAGATAAGAGTTTATTCGAAAAGAAAACGGCAGAAGAAGTGAAAATCTTGATTCTCAGATGGAGACTATTGTCAGATGTCACATGGACAAGCATGCATTCATATGCAGTCTGTGTCTTTCTTAATTGAGATTAATTGATGTTTAATCAGTAAATTGCCGAACATTGTTGATGTGAATTTTGGATTGGGGTCATTCTAATTAGAATGATCGGATCGGATCCTCTCTCTTTATCCTATGAGCAGGAACAGTTGTTAAATGATCACAGTTAGCTGATTATTCTATCTCGTGCTTCTTCTCTTTGGTCTTCAGTCAAGTCATTGGTTATTTACGTATATGCTGAAGTGGCTTCATAACATAAGAATCTAGAACAAGATCTCTCAACCTTGGCCATTTTAAGATGTGTGGGATTCAATGTCCTGAATTCCCCAGGCAGGTGGCCAAGGTAGGGAAATACTCAGGGGTGGGCTTCAAAAATTTTACCAAGGGGTTCTCTGCCTGGTTGCTGGGTGGGCGTGGCCATGGCAGGTGTGGCCTAGTCAGCCTCCTGCAGCATGGTGGGGGGGGGGCTTTTTGCCCTCCCCAGCCTCCGGAGGCTTTCCTCGAGCCTCCGATAGGGCAAAAATGGCCTCCCCAGGCTCCAGAGGCCCTCTGGAGGCTGGAAATTGGCCCATTTCCGGCCTTCCTGATCTTCCAGTAGGCCCATTTTTCACCCTCCCTGAGCCTCCCTGCATGCCTTGCACTTACCTCCATCCAAAATGGACCGAGTGGGGGCTCCTGAGAGGGGTGGGATGGGGTGGGTGGGGCCAGCCAGGAGTGGGATTTGGGGGGTTCTCCAAACTGCACAGAATCTTAGCTAGAGGTTCTCCCGAACCCTTGCGAACACCCAGCAGCCCACCCCTGGAAATACTGATCTAGAAGCATCAACCAGGCTCTAGACTGCTTTACAATTGACTAGACCAGAAAGTTTGGGCTATATTTTATTGAACAAATCACTATTGGTTAGCCATGTATAATAAGATGACTGTATCTACCTATATAGTATATTTAACCTGATTACTTAATTAAGCCATAGTCTGACTTTGCACGTTATCATTCTAAACTAAGCATCTAGACTGCATTTGGCCAGCACAAGGGGAATAAGAAAATGAACTCATTATTTAAATTGAGTATGTGGTGGAAATGCAACTATTTGGTTTTTAGCTGACCCAATTAAGCTGACCTCAAGTCATGGTTTAATTAACCTCCATGGGCTTGTCTGCAGAATAAACAAATTCAAGCCCCAGCAAACTATGTTATAGATTATTGTGGTATACTGTATGGTTACGGAAATGGAAACCCATTGCAAGAATAATATTGAAATAGAATATGGATGAAACATGTAACAGTGATACCCATTGTCATTGGGGCACTTGGTACCATGTCCAAGAATTTTACAAAACACATCAAGAAATTGCAGCTTCCTGCAATAACACCAGCGGAACTGCAAAAAACTGTGCTACTTGGAACATCATATATTTTAAGAAGGTGCTTGGTCGATACCTAGGACGCTGGCAGCAACCCGTATCAACCATCTGAGCCAGTCAATGATATTTGTGATACATTTTTAAATGTTCAGTTTACTGAGTTTCATGTTTAATGAAAGTGTATAAAATAAAGTGTATAAAAATAAAAATAATAATAATTTATAAGGAATACCATGATGAGTATGACTTATGTATGATGTATGTATATTTATATAGAGAAACTGGCCATGGGGCAAGAAAGGTACAATTAATAGTCTTTAATTAAATGGTTAACTTAATTATTGTTTGAGTTTTGTTTCAATATTATTTTTCAATGGGTTTCCATTTTTCATAACCATATTCATCATCATCATTGAATAATAACAACAATAACAACAACAACAACAACAACAACAACAACAACAACAATAATAATTTACTTGGTTGATACCTAGGAGGCTGGCAGCAACCTGTATCAATCATTAGTACCAGTCAACCGTATTTGTGACACATTTTTAAATGTTCAGTTGACTGAGTTTCATGTTTAATGAATAAAAGAGATAATAATAATAATAAATAAACTGGATTTACATAATGAATTAAAACTGGACAGCACAAGGGGAGTAAAAATTGAATTAGGGTCTTGGAGCAATACACAAAGAGCTACATAGATACACGGAAATGTTGAACTTATTAGACCCAAATATCCCAACTTTGCAAAAAACCACCCTACTGGCAACTGGCTATATACTTGGTTAGGATTTGATTGAATCTAATGGAAGATTAACTATAATAATAATCATCATATGCTAAACACAGAAAAAGAGTAAGAAAGAACAAGTCAATATAGGCATGAAACTGGAAAAAGAAAAGAAGATAGAGCTACATCTAAATACATTTAAAGAAATATAGCTATATCTAAATACATTTAAATAAAGGCAAGAGGAAGATGAAAGAAATCAAAATGGCGGGTGCAACTAAGTGATTGAATCTTTGCCGTCCTATAAATGCCTCTGAGTTTAAGCCAACATCCTTCACTATACCTCCACTATCACATCTTTCTACCTTTCTTACCTCCATTATATCCATATAATGCTTTTCCTTCATCAAAATTTCTCTCAACTCCACCCAACTTTGAATTCTGGTGCCTTTCTGTTCCTCTCAATTCATCCAATCTTCCTTAATTTGTTTTCCAGTTTGATCCTTGTTTATTCTCTCTATATGACCAAACCATTCTCAAGCGTATTCGTTTTATACTGGCCATTGTCTTTCGTACTTAATCCACATGAATTCAGCACTCATTCAATAATCTTGACCTTATCTCTTCTTCTTGTTTTTCACATGTACTTCTTAGAAATCCCATGCTAACTGCATTCACCCTACGGAAATGGTACTGAAATGGTCATCGTTTGTCTCTTCTTATAATGGTTTGATAAAGGGGAAGATGCCATGATATGTGTTGTTTATTGTTTCCTGGCCTCAGTGCCAGGCCCTTGTTCTAAACTTTGCTGCTGAAAGCATTCTAGGGGCTGGCCATCCAACGGTAGACTTCTCTTGTTATGTGAGTGTCTGGTCTTTCATCTCTACAGGAAGGATCTTCTGCAGATACCATCAATTAACAGTTCTGTTTGATGGGCTCCATTGAAAGCATGCTCACTCTGCTACCCCCTGCAGTAGAATACACTCACCAGGCTGTGTCTGCACAACATACTTAATTGGGACTGTTATTGTGTGTGCATTCACACAATAAGTTAAACTTGGCAATTTTCACCTGGATTATTATTATTTTTTTCTGATTTAGCATTCTGTGTGCATCCTGGCCAACATGCATCTTGGCCATCAAGTTAATTGGACAATCATTTGTCTGAAATGGTATAGGGTTTCCTGCCTGAGTAGGGGGTTGGACTAGAAGACCTCCAAGATCCCTTCCACCTCTGTTATTCTCTTCTGTTCTTAATTACACGTACTTTATTTATTTGTAACTCATTTACAAATGAGAGAATCGTCAGAAGGTTAAGCCCCGTAGAAAAAACAAAACTCACTTTAGAGTTCTCTTTTAGTTATTTGGAATTTGTGCTTTTAAAACTTGGTTTCGGTGGTTTTCTTATTTTTAAGATAACATGTTATGAAACAAATTATCAGCTTTAATGCTTTATGATGCAGCAACAGTGTACATCAGCATTAACAGTGGTGTTCATAGTCATCCCAATAGTCAAATCTAGGGGTCCCATCCACACACAATGTGGGAAGCTCCGTTAGAATTCATCTTGGTTAGGTTCTCCTGGCTTAGAGTGTTGTGTGAATTCAACCTCTTTTGTTCCTTTGTAGTTGGGTGTTTTTCGTAAATAAAAATAAATGGGTTAATTCAATAATGCTGAGAGATGCAGTGCTATGTTTATTTCTAAATCTGGCGGATCTTTGAAAGCCTCTCGTGTACAGTATTGGTTAGGGTTCTGGATGCCTGTCCTAAATGGCCCATTCAGGGAAAGTAATGCAAATCGTATTTTCTGGCTGCAAGGTTTGTTCCTAACAAACAGAAACTGGTACCGTAGGTGGACCATGCCACCAATCCCGTCCCCTGCCCCCAAAAAGGGATGGGCTTCAAAAATGTTAGCAAGGGGTTCTCTGCCCGGTTGCTGGGTGGGTGTGGCCATGGTGGGCGTGGCCTAGTTGGCTTCCTGCACCAGGGCGGGACGCGGGGGTGTTTTTGCCCTCCCCGGGCTCCAAAGGCTTTCCTTGAGCCTTCGGGAGGGCAAAAACAGCCTCCCCAAGCTCCGGAGGCCCTCTGGAGGCTGGAAACGCACCCATTTCCAGCCTTCCCAAACTTCCGGTAGGCCTATTTTTCGCCTTCCCTGAGCCTCCGTACATGCCCTGCTCTTACAGTATCTGCATCCAAAACGGGCTGCGTGGGGACTCCTGAAAGGGGCGGGATGGGGTGGGCAGGGTCAGCCAGGAGTGGGATTTGGGAGTTCTCCGAACTGCACAGAATCTGAGCTAGAGGTTCTCCCGAACCCCTGCGAATCCCCAGCAGCCCACCCCTGCCCCTCAACCCCAAAGGCAGGTCCAGGGGATGGTTTGGTAACTGGCAAATATTTTACCCTCTTTTCTATTTCATGTTTTTCAACCATGTTTTGGGAAATAGAGATACTTGATTTCTTCTCTGCCTATCCAGCCAAAGTTTCAGGGATCAGATCAAAGAGAGGCTGCAACATTATCTTGTTTTTTTTTAAAATTAATTTGCTTTTAAGATTTCCCCCTCCCCTAAACAAACAGTGCCCAACTTAACTTGGTGCCTTGGTCATTGCCACTTTCACCTTGTTGGAAAGCTGCCCCCCCCGCCCCCCAGACACTTGCTGTCGGCCATAAAAACCCTCCAGTTTTCCAACTTAGGCAGAGCAAAGGGACAGTTTCTTTTCTTTTCTGTGTTCTCCTCCTCCTCCTCCTCTTTTTCTACTACTTTTCTGAGCTCCGTTGCACCTGGTTTGTGCTTCGTGGTTAGGCGTGGGGGCCCTGAGGTTTCCGGTTGCTGTTGTGCACTCCTTGTCTCAACGCTGGGGCTGATTGCACAATCTCACATCATATTTTCGGAGGCTGGCGTACCCACCCACCCACCAACTCACCTCTCTGCCGAGATTCCCTGTAAGGGGCACAGAATGGAGCGCCCTCAAACTCAATAGGCACTGCGAGCCTACATGTAAGAGGAGTTCTTCTGAAGGATCATTGGGGCAGCTGGAATGCTGGGTGAGGGGGCCTGTTCATGGGATGAGGATGGAGAGCAAATAGGTTCTTTGGAGGTAAGGTGGCCGGATTGCAGATTTCATGAAAGACAGAGGTGCACAAACCCCAGGACTATAAGTAGCCTCCAACTCCTCCTTCAGTTGCCACTGAACTGCACATTTCAGTTTGACAGATGCTTCCTTTAAATACTTGATTTCATTGGAATTACAATGAAATCAGATTTATTTGGGGACTGATGTCACCCACAACTTCGTCCTATCTACTCTGGGGGAATCAAGCCTCCACAGGACATCATACCCAGGCCAAAGTTAGGCACCCTTGATCTTGAATAAGGCTTGCCCAGATGGCGTTGAACTACAGTGGTCTATCATCCTTGCCCAGGTAGTGATGTGGGGATGGGTGGGTTTGCAGTCCAGGTGATTTAGTGAGGACCAGATTGGGAAAGGTGAATTGAGACTCAGATGTGGAGCTAGTTTCTGGCTCAATTGGGGGGTGGGGGTGGGAACAAGCTTGTTGGGTGGGGAGCTTTTTTGTTGTTCCTTGCCCAATTTCAAGCCATTACCCAATTCTGTGGGTTTGTGGTTTAGGGCTGTTTAAGTACAAGGGGAATGGCTTCTCTATGGGTTGGGAAACTCTGCCACTCATTGCTTGTCATAGAGAAAAGTGTGCATGGGAGAAAGTGTGGTCAACATGGCCAAAATCAAGCTATTTGGTTTTAATTGCACGGCAATTAACACCACAATGCAACTAGACTCTGTTCTATTATTTTTTAAAATGCTTGTCCTACCCACCACTCCACTCCTGTTCCTCAGTACAAGTAACCCTCATGTTAGGAAGGTGCTTGTTAGCATCTAAGTGGGGGGAGAATATCTTGCTTTTGTGAGTAAATATCTGGAGATTTCCCTTAAGGAGCAGTTGGGTTTCTCCTATTGGAAGCACCTGAATTCAGTTGGGTGTAGGATAGGCACAGCTCGCTCACATGCCCTCCCATGTTATGATTCTGATCCAATCCTCTTCTCCTTGCTGGTATTTGTTAAGCTCAGCTCTCCTCTCCTTTGGTCCACCGTGTAAGTACAACTGTAGGGTTGGTCAACTTAGTTCCTTCTAGGGCTGTGTTGAATTCGAGCTCTCCCTCCCTTGAACTTGCACATCTTGTTGAGAATTGTGATCCGGCACCTTAGGAAGAGCTTTCTAAGTGTGTCTTCTTTCAGCATCCTAGATGAACAGTGCTTATGCTCTCAGGAATAATAAACCCGGCTTAGAAGGCGTTTGACTCAGTTGAGAAAATTCGGCTTTTTCTGGCTTAGAGCAGGCCTTGGAGGAAGTCACGGTGTCTCCTTTTAAGATTGATTGGAGTTGGGAGGACCAGCATTGCTTAGAAGATTTGGTGAACTGTTTTGTGTTCCTGAGAGATAAACATCCCAGCTCTGCTTCCTCTCACGACCTTCCTTCTGTCTCTGAAATTTGGCCACCTGGTCACCCCTCGGGGATTGCAAAGTCGTGATATAGACACTCTATCTTTCCCCCCTCTCGCTCCCTGTCCCTTTCACACACGTTGGCTGTGCTGACATGGAAAATCCGTCTGCCCCCCCTCTGCCTCGCCCTCCCCTCAAAAACACAGCATAAGTCACGAAACCTGCTCCTTTCTTCAACCAATGGGAGCAAAGTAGTACAAGGATATGAATACAGAGAGAAAAGGTGGGTGGGTGGGTGGGTGGGGGAAATGGCAGAGAGACCCCTGGCAAGGGATAAGCGCCGGCCAATACTTTTACGAGGAAAGCAGCAGAAGCCAATTGGCCCGAGATACTCCTAGGTGTAACTATTCTTCTCCCAACTTCATAGTCCAAGGAGCAGAAGATATTTTGTGCCACTCAAACTTTGGGATTTCTTTACCTGCAAGAAATTTCTCCAAGCAAGCCGGCCATCCCATAAGAGACCCCTGCAAAGCAGTGAGTAAAATCAGGGATTGAGGCAACTATTGCGTGTTGGAATGATGTGTCTCTGTGTGTGTACAAAATTACATGCAAAAATATGTTTGTTGCCCATAAACTACGTCAGACTTAAATATCTAGTACCTGCAGTCCGATACATGATAAAAGCTATTTAATTTAGCCCACCATAGCCAGGATGCCAAAGAAATGTTTGAGACTGCAAACATCTGGAACATCTGGCTATCATGGCCAAAGGAATTCTGGGAGTTGCCAACAATTTTGGATGATGCTGAGTTAGGGAAACCTGATTCAGTTCATCCTCTTCACTAGAGGTTAAGTGGATCGCCCCCAAATTCTCCCCAATGCGACCTACAGTCTGATTCTAGCTTAGTTTTAATTATTGAATTTAGTTACTGAATAGACCCATTTTCTGGAAAAGTATAATTAGATACATAACATTTAATTTATATTTGTGTGTTATGAATTTCCATTTTATATACATAAGAATCTTCAATATTTCACAAAATAGTTTTACATAACTGAATATTATATTTATGTATATGTGTGCAAATCTGAATCTATACATAGATAAAATATTTTATGAACGAAGGCAAGCATACATGTCCCAGGATCCTGCAAAATATTTTACATCTAGCCGATAAGAGTTTTCAATATTTCTTAGTTTTATATAGTTAGTTTTATAGTTAACTGATGATCAGTTATCAGCTGGAAATGTATCTACATGTATGTGTGCGTTAGATAAGAATTTCCAATATTTCATTAGTTAGTTTTACATGTGAATAATTTATATCATTAAAAAAAATCTGATCATTGTTAAAGTCCGGTTAGCATATAAGTAACAATGGCAACAATCAGCACAGTATAAATCATAAGGTCTGATAAAGAATTACATTAATTTCTGTCCCCAGTGAACAACTGATTATTTACACAGATCATTGTAAGTTGGACTAGCAAGAGCTTATGTTAAGAGAAACCCAAGTTATGAATGCAGTCTAACATTATTATAAAAGTATAAATAATTGAAACATTATTTATGATGTTTTGAAGACAGGCAAGAGCATTTATTTTATTTTTTTGTCAGAAATGAAACTCAGAGGCAGATGGGGCTATAGTCCTGGCTTCAGGCATGGGGTGGGCAGGCTTATTTATGGCTCTCTCCTGATCATTCCACCTTGAGGGATGAAAATGGACCATCCACCTGCTGTCCTGGCATCAATGCTACCAAGTGGGCAGGGCGAGTACAGTTAGGCAGGCCAAGGAAGTGAGTTGGGGATGTAGAGTAGAGTAGAGTAGAGTAGAGTAGAGTAGAGTAGAGTAGAGTAGAGTAGAGTAGAGTAGAGTAGAGTAGAATAGAATAGAATAGAATAGAATAGAATAGAATAGAATAGAATAGAATAGAATAGAATAGAATAGAATAGAATAACAGAGTTGGAAGGGACCTTGGAGGTCTTCTAGTCCAACCCCCTGCTTAGGCAGGAAACCCTACACCACTTCAGACAAATGGTTATCCAACATCTTCTTAAAAACTTCCAGTGTTGGAGCATTCACAACTTCTGGAGGCAATTTGTCCAACTGATTAATGGTTCTAAGTATCAGGAAATTTCTCCTTAATTCTAAGTTGCTTCTCTCCTTGATTAGTTTCCACCCATTGCTTCTTGTCCTGCCCTCAGGTGCTTTGGAGAAGAGCTTGACTCCCTCTTCTTTGTGGCAACCCCTGAGATATCGGAAGACTGCTATCATGTCTCCCCTAGTCCTTCTTTTCATTAAACTAGACCTACCCAGTTCCTGCAACCGTTCTTCATATGTTTTAGCCTCCAGTCTCCTAATTATCTTTGTTGCTCTTCTCTGCACTCTTTCGAGAGTCTCCACATCTTTTTTACATTGTGGTGACCAAAACTGGATGCAGTATTCCAAGTGTGGCCTTACCAAGGCATTATAAAGCGGTATTAAAACTTCATGTGGTATTTGTCTCTATCCAGATATGGAGTCCTGGCAAGAAAGCTGGAGGGATAACCCGGTGCAAATGGTCCCTGTTGGAGCAGAGATTGAAGGAACAGGTAAGTGATGCTTTTATTTGTTTTGGGAAAACGAAACCACAATTTTGTCTTGTTTTTTGTCAGGCCACTAAGCTGGCCTTGGTAAGTCCTTGCACCTCTGATACAAACAGAGGAAACATGTGGGGCATGTCTTCTTCTTCTGGAATTCTTGCCAAATCCTTCCCCAGCTGTGGCCACATGTTTATAAGTAGATGTGCAACTGGAAAGCAAGGGATGTCTGCCTATGCTTCACTCTGGGACATGTGACCAGGAGGGATGAAGGAGGAAAGCTGAGAATGGAAGAGTCATCTCTTTTTTAGAGTGGCTGCTCAAATGGATCAACTACAGGATTGCAACCCGGGTGGGGTGGGAGTTTCTCTAAAGCTCACAGTGTCAAGTTTCCGAAAGATGCCCTAATTAATTCATGAAGCCATGATCCTTTCAAGTTGCCACACAACTTGTTTTTGGTGCATTTAAAAACTTTGCTTTTGTCCTTGGCTGGCTTCTTTTCACCCCAAATTTGGACCGCTTCTGCTCACCTTTTGGAGACTTACCACGCTGATAAAATATAGACAGATTCCCCATTCCCTCCCCACTCCTGGGGGAAGGATGTTGCAAAATTTCCATTCCCACTCCACTCTGGGGCCAGCCAGAGATGGTATTTGCCAGTTCTCCGAACTACTCAAAATTTCCGCTACCTGTTCTCCAGAACCTGTCAGAACCTGTTGGATTTCACCCCTGGTCTGAGTGCATAGTAAAAGAATATGAACACTTCTTACATTCTTTTTTCTCTCTTTACATTCCACAAGACTTTTTGGAAGAGTACAGGAAGATTTTCCAAGATGATTTTGGTGACATAGGTTCCTGGTTTCTACCAGAAAATGAGATGGAGCAGCAGCTGCCAAGCTGGACTGGTGGAAGTTACCTTGCTGAACTGGAAGGCTTTGAGAAGACAGTGCCAATCCATGAATCCCTTGGCTTAAAAGGTAACTAGCATCCTGGTCAGCAGAGGAAGTTGGGATGCGGTCCCAGCATTAGCATCCCGAATTATTTATCCAACTATAAGAATTCCACCTTCATTTTAAGAGGGTGCACGAATCTGCATTTTTCCTCTTCCCTTTCCATCTCTCCTTTCTTTTCTCTTGAATCTCTTGAATCCATTACACAGTTTGAAAATTCAAACAGGAATGATTTTATTTTCTTTCTCTTTTTTAAGGCTTTCTTTTAGACATTAAACAAATCTGAAAGGAAGAGATTAAACAAAATTAAGAATAGTGAAGAGATTAAACAAAATTAAGAATAGGTTCATAGAAATTTGAAGTTGATTGTTGCTAAATATTCTCTTTAATCATAAAGCAGTATTCTAATTTTAATAGGAATATGACTGATGGATGTTCTTTTTTCAAATATACATTATTAAATGCTTGCAAATATATATATATATATTTGTAACTGTATCAAAGTTGAAAGTTACTCTTTCCCTATATTTTTTTTATTCTTGGCACTTTTTCTCTCCTTATTTTCAGTAATCATGAATAGTTGTCTTCATCAAATCCCAAAATTTAAAAATTTCATTTATTTCCATTTCAAGCAAGAAGTTCAAAAAAGGTCTCCAGAGTTTTCTTCTCTTTAATCAAAGTTTTTAGTTTTGCCATTTCAGCCAGCTCCATTAATTTCATCCTCCATTCTTCCATTGTGGGAATCTGAAGCTCCTTCCATCTCCGTACTTACAAAAGTCTTGTTGCTTTATCATATATAGAAATAAAGTCCCATGTTTTTCTCAAGCTGTTTATCCATCGGTTTTCAAGAAATCATCTATGAACTATCCTAAGTGTCAATTTAGCAGTAGAGTTTTAAGCAGCAGAAAATGCACCATCCCTAACACCATACACTGTCACTGTAAGAATAAACATGAATGGAATTATCTCTTTTTCTTTTGAGGTTTTCCTGAATACACCAAGACCATTGTGGAATTGAAACAGGTTTCTTCTGATCCAGACTATAGGGAACCGTACCATGGTGGTGAGTTTTGGTTGATATTTGGAAAGGGTTGTGGCCTGCCAATGGCCAGCAGAGCTGGCAGCAGATTCAGACAGTGAGGAGGTTGGGGAGGAACGTGGGCCAGTCCTGGAGTCCGGGGAAGGCTCAGATGAGGACTCTCAGTTGGAGGCAGAGAGGGGGCCAAGGCCATAGTTCTTTGCTGCCTCCAGAATCTGACATCAGCAAGGCAGAAGAACAGCAGGAGCCTGTTCCCAGTGTGCGCATGCGCAGAACTGCCAGAACACAGGAACAATTAAGAAAACTGGGTCGACTTGGGAGTAAGGCTTGGAGATGATTGGCCCCTCCCATAAGACATAAAAGAGGAGCGAATGGGACATGAGCTTTTGCAGGAAGCAATTAGTGCATCTGGTCAGTAAAAGCTTTGGAAAAGTTCTGTTTGACTCTGTGCCAAGTTTGGCCTTGCCCTGCGTGTGGCAATTAGTTCTCTGGCAGCATTCCAAGGGAGATAAGGTGGGTGTTTATAAACACTCCCCTGAAAGACTGTTTGAGAAGCCTTTTGGACTGGGAATGACAATAATTCACAGCCGTATGAATAAAAGAGGTTTGCCGGGACTAAGATTGTGCTGTATACTTTCTAAGGAAGTCTAGGTCAGAACAGAATGAGAGAGCGGGGAGTAGAGAAAGCTAGTGGCACTAAGGGGAAATATTTGTGCTTTCTGAAGTGTCACAACTATCAAATTCTCATTTATCAAAATTCATTTATTTATTAAACACATTTAACGTGGCTGCCAAACTCACCACATGGTGACTCAAACCTCACTGAAAGTTGATTCAAACTTCAGTGTTTGGAATATTCAAAGCAGAACAGATGCTCACTTTTGACTCAATTTTTGTAGCTCATGTGGCAATTTATATGGTGTGGGCCGTGATTCTTGATAATCCTTGCTTAAAGCTCGACAGTGACTTTTAGTAATCTAGGCACTATATTCAGCCATTTATTAACAATGCAGTTTAAAATTATAACCTCCTTGAGATTTTTAGACCCCCTATTTTTGTGCTTTATTCTTTTATCTTCTTGACCGTTTTTTTTTGCATTTATGTTTATGTGTTTTCTTTAAAAACCTAAAAAAAATATCAAAACGAAACAAAAAGTTTTAACTTTTCATTGAATTATTATATTGCAAAAGCCTAAAGAGCACCAGAGAGTGAAACATAAAAATATAGAAGGCAAAATAATAATAATAATAAAAAAGAACAAAGTAAAAATGTTGCAACAAAGAATTTGATGCCACAATCTCCTCTTCATTCTTTTTCCCCAACCAGTAACCTTCAGTTAAATATTAAGTCCAGCTGCCTTTTGAACGGCACTTTTGGGACACATAAATATTTATGCTATACTTTTAATATTTAATAATAAACATTGGGCATGTTTGCTCATATCTGTTTAAATCATTTCATTTGTGTTTTTTTTTTAGTTAGCCACTTTACTTATTTTTCTTGGAAGCCATATTGCAAATATCTAAATTTGCCTTGCTAGTAACGTGACTTATATACAGGGTTGGGCTGCTGGGGGTTCGCTGGGGTTCGGGAGAACCTGTAGCTAAGATTCTGTGCAGTTTGGAGAACCACCAAATCCCACTCCTGACTGGCCCTGCCCACCCTGCCCCTCCCCTCCCAGGGCGCGCACAGAGGCTCGGGGAGGGCAGAAAACCGGCCTACCGGAAGTTCAGGAAGGCCGGAAATGGGCCTGTTTCCAGCCTCCAGAGTGCTTCTGGAGCCTGGGGAGGCCGTTTTCACCCTCCCGGAGGCTCGAGTAAAGCCTCTGGAGCCCAGGGAAGGCAAAAACGCCCCCCCACCATGGTGCAGGAGGCTGACTAGGCCACGCCCACCATGGCCACGCCCACACAGCAACCGGGCAGAGAATCCCTTGCTAAAATTTTTGAAGCCCACCCCTGTTTATATAAGGGAATCATTCCCGCTTAAATTTGGTCCTGTTATAACTATATACTGTAGCTTATCCATCATTGCACATTCAGTGAAGGAGAAAGATTTCTTTAGGCTCAGTACGTTTCTATGAATCGTTATGAAAATGGTACAGTTAAGAAAGAATACCTTACATGTACCTGTTTAAAGGGAAGTGAAATGGGCTATGTCACAAGTCCTTGTGGGTATTTCTTAGTGCATGAACGCAATGACTTTGGCAAGCTGGCATATGTGTTTTGGGAGGATTAAACAAACAAAGGAATTTTTCCCCTTTTAAAAACATCCTGTGCACTTCTGTTTGAAATTAATTAAATTGATCAGGGCCTTAGAGTAAGATAGAGCAGAAACAACATCACAGCGCAACGCAAATTGCCTCCCTGTGTCAACTTGACACAACTGGGAGTTAAAGCAACAAGAGGAAGCAACTTAAAGTTGTTAAAGCAACTTTGCCGAAATGTTGTAAGGCTGCCAGTCATCAGCCCTCCCCAAAAACGTTCCCCTTTAGAAAGATTAGACTATCAGTCCCATGGTTCCTTGCCAGCACAACTCTCTGGAAATTATGGAAATTGGCACATGTATCTGAAATGTGGATGAGGAGTAGGTGGAATAAACCCCCCCCCACTGTGCTACTACAACAGGAATATTGCCATATTTGTAGGTATAGCATAAAAGACAATTTTCATTATATGTGGATATGAGAATTCTTCTGAAGTTTCCCAGACAAGGCACTTATCAGAAGTCACTAGTCTAATTTATCAGAGAGATGGAAAGCTGTAGAGTTGGAATCAAGAGGTGGGTTTCAGCAGGTTCTGACCTGTTCTGGAGAACCAGTAGCGGAAATTTTGAGTAGTTCGGAGAATCAGTAGTAAAAATTCTGACTGGCCCTGCCCCCTTCTATTCTCTGTCTCCAAGTCCCAGCTGATCGTGAGGAAATGGAGATTTTACAGTATCCTTCCCCTGGAGTGGAGTGGGAATGGAGATTTTACAGTATCCTTACCCTGCCATGCCCAACAAGCCACGCCCACCAAGCCATGCCACACCCACCAAGCCACACCCACAGAACCGGTAGTAAAAATTTTTGAAACCTACTACTGGTTGGAATGGGTTAGAAGATGATCTAATCCAACCTTCTGCAATGTGTAGGAGAATCAGTTAAACCATCAGACACAGTAGAGAGCTGGAAGGGACTTTGGAGATCTTCTACTCCAGCCCCATGCTCAGGCAGGAGACGCTATGGCCTGCCCTATACCATTTCAGACAAGTAACTGTCCAGGCTCTTCTTAAAAACCTCCAGTGATGAAGCTGTACTTCAACATCCATTTAAGAGAGAGGTGAGAAGACCCTGAATTCCTTCAGTATCTTTTGACTCTTAGTACCAGAAGTGGTCTTCCTTCTGAGACTGGCGCCTGAGGAATTTTATAACCTGGAATTCTTGCCTCCTATAGACATCTATGCTTATAGATAGACACAAGCAATGGTGGGATTCAGCCGGTTCGGGCCGGTTCAGGTGAACCGGTAGTTAACTTGCTGGCTGGCCCCTTCCCTTCCCTTCCCACCCCTTCCAAGCGTTCCCACACGCCCCATTTTGCTCTCAGGTAAATGCAGGGAGGCCTCCTAGGCCCAAAACAGGGCGCACCCCCCCATGCCCCGTTTTTGCTCCCAGGAGGTTTCAGGAAGGCCTACTAGACCCAAAACGGGATGCGGGAGGGACGGTGCATCCCCCCAGCCCATTTTTGCTCCTGGGGGGGTGCAGGAGGCCGAGTGCTGCCTGTCACACCCCTGGCCACGCCCACCAAGCCACACCCACAGAACTGGCAGTAAAAATTTTTGAATCCCACCACTGGACGCAAGAAAAATGGTTAGGATTACCATTCTCCCATGATTCTGATGATACCTGTACCTTGAATCTCCTGCAGCTTCAAGAATGGTGCTCCAACAAGACAGTGTCCTCCACAGCCTCGAGGGCTCCACCTGCCTCCCGGTTGCTCCTCAGCCTTGCTTTGTTCGGTATCCCGATTCTCCTGGAGAACAGGTGTCTTCTGCTCAGCTTCCTCCCGGAGATCAGCAAGAACAGCAGAAGGAAGGTAAAAACTCAGTTTTGCACGACTTTACATAATTTCTGTCCCCCAAACTACCCTTCAAGTTCCTGAATTTTTTTTTTTAAAAAACTCATTTTCAACATGCTTTAGAATTTGTTTTGGGTGCTGTTTCTCAGCTTGCATTATAATTTTGCATGTGTTTGTCTTTCTTTCATTTTCATTTCGGCATTTTCACGACGTCAGGGCCAGTGGGCGGGGCCTCCTGCCGGTTTTATTACCGGTTCTATAGAACCGGTGCGAACCGGGGGCAACCCACCACTGAATCGGATGGAGTTTTGTGAGTTCTAGAATAACCTGAACCATAAACCAACCAACCAATCATGTGCTGCGTTAATTTATTTAACTTTATTTATTTTATTTTATTGAATTTGTATACCGCCTTACTCCCGAAGGACTCAGGGCGGTGAACAGCCATAGAATAAGACATATAAATACAAAATTTAAAATAGAATAAAACGAATTAAATAATTTGGCGGAACAAATTTAAAAACCCAATAATTTAAAACCAAATTTAAAATTTCTATTTAAAAAGGGGAAAGACTTAGGACAAGCCAGCCTGATGAAACAAGAAAGTCTTGAGCGCGTGACGGAAGGTACGCAGATCCGGGATCCTCCGTATTTCCGGGGGGAGCTCGTTCCAGATAGTAGGTGCCCCCAGGGGGGCAGACTCTCCCCCTGGGGGCCGCCGGTCAACATTGTTTGGCCGACGGCACCCGGAGGAGCCCCTCTCTATGAGAGCGTACTGGTCGGTGGGAGGCTATTGGTGGTAGCAGTAAATAACCAGGTCCTAAGCCATGTTAAAAAAGAAGTTTAGATGCACGATTTGCACCATACACTATTGGGCCTTTAAGGCAGTGGCCCCCAACCTTTTAAGCACCAGGGATGGTTCTGTGGAAAGAGATTCTTCCGTGGTGGTGGTGGGGGTTTCATGTATTGCCTGCATCCTGCGGATGGGGCTTCATTTGTTTTCATAACCTGGTTTCTGCCATGTTGTGGACCGGTGTCGATCCATGGACCAAGACTTGGGACCCCCTGCTTTAAGGAACTGGTTAAAGGGATTGTGTGAATGCAAGCAGTGTATGTGTGTGTGATTGTGTGTGTGTGTGGTTCTTGTCCTTTGTAAGGTTTTGCTCTTACAGGGATTACTAGCTTTTATGCTTACTTCCCTGATTTTGTTCGTCCATTGTCGTTGCCTCTAGAACATTGGGTTGAGTCCCTTGGCCCCGATTCAGGCAGCCAATCCAGTGCCTTGGATAGCGATTCTTGTCAATGCGATTCACCAATCAGGAGCCAGAAAAAACGGGAACGCAGAGACCAGGCTGACAGCAAGAACACCAATACTTCACCTAGAGATCGGGCAGGTAATGTTGACTGGGGGAGCATGGGTTGGGAGACTCCAGAAACCCATAACGCGCTGACACTAAACTTCATGTCTTAAAGGGTCTGGAGTTGCAATGACTTTTTAAATTGCTTGCCCAAACATTAAGGGCAGGTATGATGTTGGCTTCTCAGTGGTGACTCCAAAATTAGGAAATGTCCCGTATTTGGGTATCTGCCATTCTGTTCCTCTGGCTTTGGGTTACAGTCAGGGGTGGGATTCAGCCGGTTCAGACTGGTTCAGGTGAACCAGATGCTAATTTTACATCTGGTTTGCTGAACCGGTAGTTCCAAGGACTGGCTGGCCCTGACCACCCTGCCCCTCCCCTCCCAGGAGTCTCCATGCGGCTCGCTTTGGATGCCAAATAATTCAGTGCCTGTGTGGAGACTCTGGGAGTGTAAAAAATGGGCCTTCAACTCGCAAATCATCCCTGGCCTGCCCTTAAGTTGCCATAGGCCGGGGAGGATGGGAAACTGGTGAAACGGCATGGCAGCCAAAGACAGGTGCACATTCCATGCTTCTCTCTCTCAAGGCTGTATCCCAGGGTTATTTACAGCAGCCAGACGGGGGTGATATCTACAACCCACGAAATTGCTCCGCTGGCGAATATGTTTGATGACACACTCTGGGGGGGAGGGGGGAAAACAGGGTCATAATTGGTGCGTCAATTACGTAGGATCTGAAGCTTGGCTCGAGGCTCATGATTTAATTAGGGCATCCGTCAGAACCCTGACAGCAAGCCAGCTCTGACCCTACGTAATTTCCTTCCTTCCTTCCTTCCTTCCTTCCTTCCTTCCTTCCTTCCTTCCCTTCCCTTCCCTTCCCTTCCCTTCCCTTCCCTTCCCCCCTCCCTCTCTTCTTCTTTCTTTTAAGGCTGCCTTTATTTTTAAGTGGCATCTCCTGAAGGCAGTTTTTTTTTTCTGGTTGCAACGAACAGTTGCGAGGTGCTGTTCTCATGTGAGTCCACATCCCCCTTTCCAAATCACCCGTTCACCTCCTGTTTTTATGGCAGGGGCCGGACCCATTCAATTATGGCGCTTTCTGCTGGAGCTCCTGCAAGATGGCTCCTGCCAAGCCCTCATCCGCTGGACAGGGAACGACTGGGAATTCAAGCTCTGTGACCCACACGAGGTGAGCCCCCCCTCGCCCTCCCCCTCATTTACAGACAACCCACGGTGCCCTTCCCTTGTGGCAAAGAGTCTCTCAGGAATAAAGAGATATTGTATTCTCTGTATAATATCATACACGTAATACAGATATTATATCTGTCTGTCTTCAGGATGACATGGTTTTTGTGTTTGTTAAATCAAGTGTTTAGTCCCTAGGAATGTGCAACAGGAATGTGCCCCACCCCCGCACATGCACACGCGGCCCCCCACATGTGCCCCACCCCTGCACATGCGTGGCAGAGGCCCAAAGACCAGCTGGCTGGCGGGAGATGTGCAGGCATGCGCAGCAGAGCAGAACTGGGGCAACGGCTCGCGTGCCATCAGAGAGGGCGCTGCGTGCCACCTCTGGCATGTGTGCCTTAGGTTCACCATCACGGGCCTAGCATTAGGGTATATAAACAACCCAGGGCTGAACTTGGTTCCCTCAGCATCCCAATCCCCATATCAAAGACCAGACGTTTCCCGCCATCATGAAGCCAACGGTACAGCGAGTTTAATTATTTATTATTATTATTTATTCAATTTATATACCGCCCTTCTCCTAGTGGACTCAGGGCGGTGCACAGCCAGAACTAAAATACATAACAATACAAAATTTAAAATTAATTAAAAGAATTATATACTTTGGCCCGAATTAAAACAATGCGAATTAAAACCCATTAATAGATTAAAACTAAACAATTAATAACAATTAAAAACTAAAAAAGGGGATTAATGGAATCCATCGCCTGTAAAATTCCATCCTTCTCCTAAACCCAGAGAAGAAACATCATGGCCCCATCCACCGTGACCTTCCCTCTCCCTCAAGTGCCAAAATGGTCTTAGCTTCAGTAACCACAATAAAGGTAAAGGTTCCCCTCGCGCATATGTGCTAGTCGTTCCCGACTCTAGGGGGCGGTGCTCATCTCCGTTTCAAAGCTGAAGAGCCAGCGCTGTCCAAAGACGTCTCCGTGGTCATGTGGCCGGCATGACTCAATGCCAAAGGCACATGGAACGCTGTTACCTTCCCACCAAAGGTGGTCCTTATTTTTCTACTTGCATTTTTTAAGTGCTTTCGAACTGCTAGGTTGGCAGAAGCTGGGACAAGTAACGGGAGCTCACCCCATTACACGGCACTAGGGATTCGAACCGCTGAACTGCCGACCTTTCGATCGACAAGCTCAGCACCTTAGCCATTGAGCCACCGCGTCCCTCTAGCAGGCATAATAGGCAAAGGCAATGCAGCATTATCTGGGCACAAGCCACAAGGAGCAACGCTTGAGTAAGGACTCGGGCTAAAATGGGCTTCTGGTTATCAGTATCAATGGACTGCTTACTCCTTCCTCCCCCCTCTCATTTCCTGCTAGGTGGCCAGGCGCTGGGGCAAGCGTAAGAACAAGCCCCGCATGACGTACGAGAAACTGAGTCGGGGGCTGCGTTACTATTACCACAAGAACATCATTCACAAGACCAGCGGGCAGCGTTACGTCTACCGCTTCGTTTGCGACATCCAGGGCCTGCTGGCCGAATTGGATAAGAAGTTGCAGATTTAGCATGCAACCGTCTTAAAAAAAAAAGAGAACCTTTTCTTCATTCCTTAAAACCTCGGAAGAGAAAGCAGGACCAGCTCCCTCGGTGAAGACTCTGGTCTCCTTTTAAGCTACGTCTAAAACAAGAAGGGGTGTGAGAAATGCTGACGGTGGGCTGAAGAGTAGGGGGAAGACCCTCTCTGGATGGGGCAGGGCAAACAACCCCCCCCCAAAACAGTGGGATTTTTTTTCTGGGGGGCGGGGAAGTTATTGCTTTGGTGGGGTGGGGTAGGTAAAAATAATCCCCCCCCCCAAAAATAGAATTGGGGTCTTGATCCTAGCTGAAGGCAGGGGGGCAGCCAATCACCCTGGCTAAAAGTGGTAGAACGGGGTCTCCAACCTTGGCAACTTTAAGCCTGGAAGAATTCTGGGAGTTGAAGTCCGCCAGGCTTAAAGTTGCCAAGGTTGGAGACCCCTGGTATAAAATATTAGCGGAGGTTTGGAAAGCATGGCTCTTACTTCTCTTGATTCAAGGAGTAAAAACCGGCAATATTTGATCAGCATGAAATATCTCGATTTTCACAGACATTTTGGAGGAGGATTACCATTCTTGAAGCTATCTGCTCCCTCCCTCCCAACACACACACACACACACACACCCCATTCCCCTCCTTCTCCTTTAGGCATTATTAAACCATTTAAAATAGGGCTACGCTTCTCATAGAACGGAAAAAGAGATTCTCCGTAGCTCTTTTGAACTCCTTTTGGTGGTGGTGGTGAGAGGCATGGCCCCTTCCCAATTGCTTGTAAGCAGACCTTAAGTATCTGCTTCCGTTTGTGCCTTCATAAGGAAGACGGGTGAGCTGGCTTTTTAAAAACAGCCGCTGCTGTTTTTTAAGAGGTCAAAATTATATCCGTCTTCAAGTCAGAAATCTTTGTACATAGCGGTTAGAAAAAAATGCCGATTTTCTTTTTGCTGTACTGATTGTAAACTATGTCGGTTCTGAAAGTTGGCAGTTTGGAACCCAAAATAAAGTTTAAAAAAAAAAATCATGTTTTTTAAATGAAAAAACAATGAATTGATGGACTGAGCGAAGGTAGAATTGTAAGGTTTGATGGATTTTCAGAAGCAGCCTGTTCTGACCCAGCTCCCCAAATACGACAAACCCTCTGTAGCTGAAGCAATGATTCCTTTATTAGGAGTGCTGGCAGCCCCGGCAAAAAGTTTCTCTCAACGCAGGTTAACAAGTCTGTCTAGCAGGGAGATAAATAGTTGCTGCTACATCTATTCATCTCCGCCCCCTGCCTTTTATCCCCAGAGCTAAGGTGGGGCTTTGTTTGCAGCGGTGGCTTTTCCATCGGCTTTTCCATCCTCTTTTATTGCAACAGCTGTGAATTACGTTCATTCACAGCTGAGTCCCAATTAGTTGCAAAAAGTCCTTCGGGAGAATCTTTTATCTTTATCTCCCTGCTAAAGACCTACTTGGCAAAGACACACGGAGTCCAGAATCAAAGAGAGATGCCGACTGGGAACAGAATTAACAACGTTGCTTTCCTGCAAAGGGCCCACATGCCTTTGCTGCTCTTTTAAGCCTTCTGGGAGGGGCCAATCATCTCCAGGCCTTACTCCCGAGTCGTCCCTTTTGTTTTAACTGTTCTTGCCTTTTGGCAGCTCTGCGCATGCGTGCACTAGGAAAAGGCTCCTTCTGTTCCTCTGCCTCTCTGCTGTCTGACTCTGGAGGCTCCGGAGTTCGCGCATAACTCCCAGATGGCCCTGGCCCCATCTCTGCCTCCGACGCAGAGCCCTCGTCCGGGCCTTCCCCAGACTCCAGGACTGGCCCTTGTTCCTCCCCAGCCTCCTCACTGTCCGACTCCACTGCCAGCTCTGCAGGCTGCTGGCGGACCACAACAAAAGGTTAGAAAAAGGCAAAGCCGGATGAATGAAGATAAACTTTATATTTATTTCAAATCCTTGGAAAATACATAGCTGCTACTTGTTGAGATGTACCTTCAACATTACATCCTCCCCCAGCCTCCCTTGAAGAACGGAGAGGAGAGGGAAGAAGGTGAGGTGAGGTGCAGAAAACCACATACCCCCTTGCATGAAATTAAGAGCCATCATTCAGCAGCCAGATGGAAGCACAGGCATAACTGCACTGTCTCCCGGGCGCTGTATCTTGCGAGCCACGAACACCAACCGGCTTCTCAGACTGATACCCAGGAGTTCATCAAAGCCACATCTGCTGTTGCTGCAGGTTCTTGGCAGCCAAAGTCCAACGCTCCAGCCACTGTTGCAAAGTGAAGCCATAGCGGAGCTCGTGAGGAAGAACAAGCTGTCCTGGCTGCTCCCACCTAGACAAGAGATGGAACATAAAAGATGTACAAATGCGGCACACCTCCTGTCAGAGTGCGTACAAGCTTTTACTACGTGAGACAACCCAGGAGCAATAACAGCAAACAGAGGTTTGTAATAAATAGTGGTTTTATCTACAAAAGGATATATACTGTACATACTCGTACTATAGGCAGAAGTCAAACAAACAGCAAATTATAGCAGGGAAGAACACACGGCAAGCGAGACACCCAAACAGGGCTTCTTCTTATTATACAGGCTCTTAAAGGGATAACAGCCAAAAACCTTGCTGACTCATTCTCATCATTACATCAGTGCATCATTGCATCATCCTAGCAGCTGGTCAGCTCTTAAAACACTATCCCTCTCTTGGACCAAGCTCTCAGTACCTGCTAGGTAGGGTCCGTTCGCTTACCAGGTATCGATAACAGCTTGGATCTCAGGTCGACGCTTGAGGAGACATTGGCACTGATCCATCGTGCGTTGGATACAGGGCAGCAGCAAAAAGGCTTGTTTCTGATCGTGGGACTGCACCTCTCCCACCAAGGCTGGGGACAGAAAAGGAAAAGAGCTTAGCCATTATTCTGCTTTCCATTCGAGCAGGTCCAATGCTTGCAGACTGCCTGCTCTGGTCTCTGCAGTTTTCTCTGCAAGGTTTTTCGTTAGTGGTTTACCATTGCCTTCTGAATAGGGCTGAGAAGCAGTGACTGGCCCAAAGTCACCCAGCTGGATTTGTGCCTAAATTGAGACTAGAACTCACAAATCTTCTGGTTTCTAGCCTGATTGATGCCTTAACCCAGGGGTGTCAAACACAAGGCCGCATCCAGTCCACAGGGTGCTTAGATCTGGCCCTCGTGACAGCTCTGGAAACAGCAAAGGACTAGCACATGGCGCTCCCGAGCTCCGTTTTAGCTGGTAAAGGGCTGCAGGAGGCCGTCCCAGCTGAAAACGGATATCGGGAGCCCGTTTTGCTGGCAGAACGCTCGGGCCACTACAGGTGCCCCTAGACTGGCTCTCCATTTATTTTTACCCTAAGCTTAAAAGCAAGACTTGGAAGATAAATAAACAATAAAACAAAAGGAATAGGAAATAAACATGTTCAATAAAGCCAGCAGCATAGTGGCTTGCTGGCTTTATTGTCTTCAATGTCAATGACAATTTGCATTTAAAAAATGCCTTAAAGGTACCGATAGAAGTGAATATTTGCAGCTCAGGGTTGAACTATGGGGGTCCTTGGTGCTCTCTGAGCTTGGTGGTTTTCTGGCACTTGGTATCATCATCACTGCTAGCGTGGATGAAACATCTGCAAGAAAACCACCAAGCTCAGAGAGCACCAAGGACCCCACTAGCCTTAAAGGTCCTTTTTACATTACCCAAAAGGATGTATTTCATTTGGGAGTGCCATAGAATCAGAGGCGCTATCAAGAAAGCTCCATCCATAGTATCTCACAGCTGAACCTAAATAGCAAGAGCAACAGCACTTACGACTTATATACCGCTTCAGAGTGCTTTACAGTCTCTCACTAAGCAATTTACAGGGTCAGGCTATTGCCCCCAACAATCTGGGTCCTCATTTTACCCACCTCAGAAGAATGGAAGGCTGAGTCAATCTTGAGCCAGTGAGATTCGAACTGCCAAACTGCAGGCAGCCGGCAGTCAGCAGAAGTAGCCTGCAGTACTGCATTCTAACCACTGCGCCACCAAGGTTCAAGGCCCTGCTCACTGCAGGATACATTGTGACTTGCCGTGTAATGAAAAACAACCCCAACCAGATCGGCCAAATATAAAGAGAATCAATACAAAATGTTTTATCGTTGGTATTTGGCACCTTCTAGATTGGCAAAAATATATCCAAATTTAAACCCCAACTGTTGGAAATGTAGACAAAACCAAGGTACCTTCTTTCATACATGGTGGTTATGCTCCGAAACAAAAAAATATTGGATGAAAATACATAGTTGGATGCAGGAAGTAACAGGCTCCCAGATAGAATACACACTGGAATTGTTTCTTTTAGGAACAATAAAAAGGAATTATGAAAAAAAAAAAAAAACGTATATCATCTTACACATGACAACTGTGGCAAGACTGGCCTTTGCGCAATGTTGGAGAAGCACAAATACACCTTCTGAAGACTTAGTAAGTAAAAAAAGTATTGGATTGCGATGAAATGGACAAATTGACGCTTGAATTGAAAGGACTGATGGACTCGGATTTTTATGTAATATGGGAGAAATGGTACAATTGGATCGAAAATAGAAGAATGGGGAAAAAACAGACAAAATAGAATGGTAGATTTAGTAAAAATTTGTACAGAGTATAGGTGAATTGTAGTGTGATGATATGTAAATGGTCACAGTCATGCACAAGAAATGAGTATGAATTGTTCAATTTGTGGAAACTCAATAAAACATTTTTTTTTAAAAAAGAAAAAGAAAAACAACCCCAAATGGAGATGAGGCAAAAGTACCACGCGTGGAGAAATATTATCAAACGTTCGCCTCTCAAGTGTAGCTTTTAGATTTGTGGGATAAAGGATGGGGGAAAGGGTCTCCTTTTCCTTACAGAGTGGGACAGGAAGAGAGAAAGATTGGAACTCTGAAGTAGGATTATGACCTCTGTGTTTTGGAAAACTTCCAACGAAAGCTCCTAGGGTCAGAAAGAAGAAGCAGGAACAGCAAAAAAAAAAAAAAAGGGAAAAATTTCCCTACCTGGTACATCGGGCTCTGGGGCACTCTCCAGCTGGTGCTGCAGGCTTCCCAAAGCTCTTTGCTTGGAGCTCAGTTGGGCACACAGGTAAGCAAGCATCTTCTTCAGCTCAGCCAGATGGAGAAGGAGCTGTTCGGGAGCCTAAAAGGGGGTGGGGGGAAGATTAAGAAAGCAGAGGCGCAGGAGTGAGAAAGCACACACAGATACCATATACGACAATGCACAGAATAGAGCAGAGGTCTTCAAACTTGGCAGCTTTAAGACTTGTGGACTTCAACTCTCAGAATTCTCCAGCCAGCTATGCTGGGAGTTGAAGTCCACAAGTCTTAAAGCTGCCAAGTTTGAAGACCTCTGGGTTAGAGGAATGTGAAGTGGGACACCAATTCAAAAAGAGGCAAGAAGCGACATTCTCCGCTTAGGAAACAAAAGCAATGAATGCAACATTGGAGGCTTCCAGTACGGCAATCGCCTTTACAGGAAAGGTTTTGTAACTGTGGTTCAGAGCGAGTTGAATACAGGTAATCCTCGACTTACAACACTTCATTCAAAGTTACAATGGTACCTGAATAAAGTGATTTATGACCCACCCACCCCCCTTTCACTGTTAACAACCTTTATGAAAATGTATAAGATGGACGGGAGGGAGGGTGAAAAGAAGGGTCCCTAAAACAAATCCAAGTGAATTTCGTCTGTCTCATCTTTCTAGACGAATTCAGCAAAATAAACCAGAGAAGGCACACCCCTACCTTATAAAGGGGAAAGCTAACTCCATTGCAGACATTGAGAAAGGCCCGATTTTCAGAGAGTGCTGTCCGGCTTAAGTGATGGATGGAAAGTTTGTGGGCTGGGATGTGTTCAGACCTGGAAGACCGTGACAAAAAGAAGAGTTTTTTTTCCTCCCCCTGCAATTGAACCTACATCATACGGACCATCGTTAAATCATGCCAATCCTCCGTGCGTGAAAAGAAAAATCAAGCCTATTTTACTTTTATTTAAAAAAAATCTGGGGCCAACAATGCTGCTGAAATTTTGCATCAGAGAAAGGCAAGTGCCAAGAAAGGTTAAAAAAAATGATGTTCGGTCAACTTCATTTGTAGGAAATGACCCTCAGAGGGAGAAGAAAAAAACAGAATTATTTTACTGCTTTTTACGGAGAGCCCATCTGCTTTTCATCCTCCCTCACCAAATGGCAGCCACTTCCTCAAGCCATCCAAGTCATTTCTCCCAGCTGATTTATTTCTCAAAGCGGGGGAGGGGAAACAACGGGTAGTCACCTAGGGCTCTTTCGAGCTTTGGAAAAAAGGAAAGTCTCTGGAAAAAGGATTCAAAACATCCCCAACCCCCACCCCGTCAGAGTTACACCCAGCCACACGGAGACGCCTGGAGATGACTCACCCAGCTATCTGACGGGTCAGCAGACAAGGCAGGGCGATGCTTTTGAAATGCTGGACCTCACGGCCTACCCTGTCGTGAAGCTGCTGGGTCTCCAGCTGCACCTGTTGCGCCTGAGGGAGCAGTTTTTTCTGTATGAAATCCTGGATCTGAAGGAGAGACGCTCCGTAAGTCAACTCAGTGGTGGTATTCAGCCGGTTCGGGCGAAGAATGTGGGTCCCGCCCCGGTGCTATGCCGTCCTATATAGCCACATTTTCGAGGCCGGGCGCATGTGTGGAAGGTGCGCGCCGGGCACGGCGAACCGGTGGTAAAAATATGTGAAAGCCACCTCTGTGTCAACGGGATTACGAATAAGCACAGAAATAATTTTACGTGAAGCCGGTTTGCCAGTAATCCCATGGTTTTTTAGAAAGTGTTTTGGCTTCAGAACAGAAGGTGGTAATCCAGGATTTCTCAACCTTGGTTAACTTTTTAAGATGCGTGGACTTCAAGTCCCAGAATTCTCCAGCCAGCCATGAATTCTGGGAGTTGAAGTCCACGCATCTTAAAAGTTACCAAGGTTGGGAAACTGTTGTCATTCTGTATGCTGCATCTTAATATCTCAAATCTTAAAGGAGTCAAACAGGGGATGAGCGAACGCCTCCCTCTGACAGACAGGGCGAATGGCCAATCTCACCTCAGCTTGGTTCTTGCGAAGTTGGGATTTGAGAAACGAAGTGCCTTTGATAAGGACCCGAATATGTTGTTGTTTCTCATTCTGTGGGAGGAAAGCAGAGAAATAAACCCCCGGGAGGAAAGTCCCTCGATGAACGATTGCATTCTCCATTCCCTCAATACCGGGAGTTTGACTAGGAGGAGTTTTTATCCTTTTTCCAAGTGCTTCCCTGACACAAACGGGTACGTATGCGTTCTTCAAACTTAAAATTGCTTTCAAAACTTAACAAGGCCAAAATTTGCGAGATGTTGATTTTTTTTTTTTTTAATGGGAGTCCACACAGTGAAAAAGTCTGTTCTCAGTTTTAAAAGGGCCATTAAAAAAAGAAGAAGTAAATGATTGCTCAGGGAATGATATAAAACCACGAAATAAAACAACTGCCAACCTTGGACTTTGCCTAACAGTTTCCTGAACTTCAAGCTTGCTGTCATGCTCCTGTTGGAGCCTGAATCTGCAGACGAGGATGAGCCGGAGCTGGAGCCGAGGAATATTGAGGGGGCGGCTTCGGAGGAATGTGGGGAGGAGCAGGATGAGGCAGCCCAAAGCCCCTCAGGATTGGAATGGATTGTTAGCAGGGAGGAAGTGAGGTGGGTGGGTGCAGGATGACCGAGAGAAGGTAAGCAGTGGACACGAGGAGCGACGGAACTCAGGCAATGAGCAAGGATCGCCCCCTCTTGATCCCCAAGCACAGAGAATGGACAGACCCAATGACTCGGGAGAGCGCCCCACTCCTCTTCACAAGGCACACCTGGGGACTGAGATTGAAGGAGGAATGTGGGGAGGGGCGTTTGTTGGGAACAAACCACGGGTGCTATTCGGCAGGTTCTGGAGAACCGGTAGCGGAAATTTTGAGTAGTTCAGAGAACCGACAAATATCACCTCTGGCTGGCTCCCGAGTGGGGTGGGAATGGGGATTTTGCAACATCCTTCCCCTGCCACGCCCACAGAACCAGTAGTAAAAAAAATTGAATTCCACCACTGGAACAAACACTGAATTTGTAGAATTTGGTGTGCTAGTACAGGCATTTGGAGTTTGCAGGACTGCTTGCTTCTTCCTTGCTTCATGGACTCATTTCCTGGTTCCTTTGCTTTGCTGGACTGGGTGCAGCCAGAGGCTGCCATGTTTTGTATGTGTGTGTGTGTGTGTGTGTGTGTGTGTGTGTGCTTTGCTCTGGGACTTGCCAAGAACGTGGGAGCATTTGGGGGGGGGGAAATTTGAAGCATTAAAGGGGAGTTTGAACCCTCAGCTGGCTGTGTGACCTTCGCGCCTTGTCCTGGGTCATCACACCTGCCCTCCTCCTCCCTCCTGTTCCTTTCTCCTCCTTCTGCACACCTACCACCAAATGGCGGAAGTCCAAGATGCGCTGGCGTTTCGCCTGCAAGTTCTGCAGTTCTGCGTACCGGGCCTTCACGGCTTCTTCAAGTTCCTGGCATCCCTGCAGCAGTCCATCCCTGTATCCTCGCAACCTCACCGCCCGGAGCTCCAGCTCAAAGACCGTTCTGGATTGCGAGGGGAAAGGACTGAGTCAGCCCAACTTACAGATCCGGTTGTTTCAGTAGCCATTGGGGAATTAAGTACAGGCGGTCCTCGACTTACGACAGTTCGTTTAGTGACCGTTCAAAGTTACAACGGCGCTGGAGAAAGTGACTTACCGTTTTTTATATTTATGACCTTTCTAAGCATCCCTGTGATTGTGTGGTCAAAATTCAGATGCTCGGAAACTGGTTCACACTTACGGCTGTTGCTGTATTCCATGGTCGTGAGATCCCCTTTTGCAACACCATTAATGGGGAGGCCAGATTCACTTAACAACCATGTGGCTAACTTAATAACTGCAGTGATTCACTTAACAGAAAAAAAAAGGTAAATAAGGTCGTAAAATGGGACAAAACTCACGTAACAAATGTCTCGCTTAATGACAGAAATTTTGGGCTTGTGGTCGTAAGTCGAGGAACTATCTTGACTTATGGCCACACTTGCGACTGGAATTTCCATTAGTATGATTTTTTTTTCCTTTTTGGCCTTGGTTGTTAAGCATCTCACTGCAATTGTTCAGTGAATCACACTTAATAATGAAGCTAATCTTAATTTAATTAATGAAGCAAATCTAATTTTGAATGAAAGGGAGCTCAGTTAAGCAGATCTGGCTTCCCCCACTGATTTTACTTGTGGGAAGCAGACTGGGAGGTTCGCAAATAGCTATTATTGGACCCTGGGACGCTGCAACAGTTGCTAAATATGTGTCAGTTCCCAAGATCCCAAATTTTGATCATGGGGATGTTGCAATGGCCATAAGTGTGAGGATGGTCGTGACTTATTTTCAATTGCTGTTGTAGCTTCGAACAGTTGTAGGTTCAGGATTCCCTGATGGCCTGGCAGGCCACCCCAAAACTACCCTTACCCAGTCATGGAATAGAATAACAGAGTTGGAAGGGACCTTGGAGGTCTTCTAGTCCAACCCCCTGCTTAGGCAGGAAACCCTACATCACTTCAGACAAATGGTTATCCAACATCTTCTTAAAAACTTCCCGTGTTGGTGCATTCACAACTTCTGGAGGCGAGTTGTTCCACTGATTAATTGTTCTAACTGTCAGGGAATTTCTCCTTAGTTCTAAGTTGCTCCTTGATAAGCTTCCATCTCTTCTTGTCCTGCCTTCAGGTGCTTTGGAGAATAGCTTGACTCGCTCTTCTTTGTGGCAACCCCTGAGGTATTGGAGCACCGCTATCGTGTCATCCCTAGCCCTTCTTTTCATCAGACTAGACATACCCAGTTCCAGCAACAAAAACGCAAATCTCATTCACCATCATCATCTTCATTGAACGACCCCATAATCCCTTGCAGGGTGGAGTCTGGGCAACTGAATGGAGTTAGCATAGTGTTTTAATGGCCAGATGCCTTTCCTGTCGCCAATGCAGAGTTTTGTTCAGCAGATATATTCTCAGTGTGCCCAGAGAGAGAAATATCTGCCTCTACCTAGGATCGAACTCACAGCCACCTGGTTGTGAGGCAAGAACTCCGCCTCTAGGCCATCGCACCACTCCTTCTCATCATTCCCTCGTCAGGAGCCTATTCTGGAAGAGTCTTACCTGGCCAGGATGGAGCGCTCCGATCCGTCAGACAGGAGACCGTGCATCTCTTTAACTAGGGCTTCAAGACGTGACAGCAGGCCTTTCTCTTCAGCATGTAGGGGAATCTGCTGCACACAGAGCATCTCGCATTTGCTCCAGCCCTCCTGTCCCATGCAAAGAAGAGAGACCAAGATGAGAATTTTTCCCTGTATAAAGGTAAAGGTTCCCCTTGCACATATGTGCTAGTCGTTCCCGACTCTAGGGGGCGGTGCTCATCTCCGTTTCAAAGCCGAAGAGCCAGCGCTGTCTGAAGACGTCTCCGTGGTCATGTGGCTGGCAGGACTCAACGCCAAAGGCGCATGGAACGCTGTTCCCTTCCCACCAAAGGTGGTCCCTATTTTTCTACTTGCATTTTTTTATGTGCTTTCGAACTGCTAGGTTGGCAGAAGCTGGGACAAGTAACGGGAGCTCACCCCGTCACGTGTCACTAGGGATTCGAACCGCTGAACTGCCGACCTTTCGATCGACAAGCTCAGCGTCTTAGCCACTGAGCCACCATGTCCCTTTTCCCCTGTATAGCGTACAGGAAATCCACCAGGTGAATTCAATCAGAATGTTCCCCCCAGAAACAAGCTGATGTAAACCTCACTGGAGCTGCTCTGGCTGTGAAATGAACTGTTCTAATGGCAAAAACGGACTTTTGGAAAAATATGTTTTGAGATCCGATTTATTCACCTGGATAAGAACCCGGACAGAAGGTAGCTTGTCTGCAGAATCCGAGACGTCTTGCAAGTGTGTGCTGTTGTAACGGAACCTAAGAAGAGGGCAGAATGAGGCTCGCTACATGTTGATGGGAAACCCGGCGCCAAGTTTTATTTATTTATGAAATTTAATATGCCACCCATCTCACTGAAGTAGCAACTCTGGGCTTCCACATCCACTAATGGCAGCTGGGCTAAGAGATGTATGAGTCTTGTCCAAAGGCATCTAGTAAATTCTAAGATTAGGAGTTGAATCCAAGTCCTCTTTTGCATTTGAGCATGCAATTAGGGACTGGAAAGGAGAAAGGGAAAGAGGAAAGACATAGAAAAAGAAGGGAAGAGTGGAAAAGATCAAGGAAGGAAAAAGAAGGAAAGAGGGGAAGGAAGTAGAAAGGAGAATGAAGAGGGAAGAAAAAAAAGGGAGGGAGGGGATTATGAGAGTGAGGGAGGATCTGAGGGAAGTCCTGCCTTAGCATTTGGCCACCACAGGTGCCTCCAACACAAGTAATGTTGAGCAGGTCACGTCCCCCCCCCCCCCGGTCACCCCCGCCCTGCTCCCCTAAGGTCAAACACAACCCTGATGCGGTTGTCAATGAAATCGAGTTTGACACCCCTGATCTAGTGGGTTTCATAGTTATTTCTACATTTTTACATTCAGAAATAATTTTTAATCTGGTAAATATCAACAAATGTAACCCATACAAGCAAAAGCTCTTTTGGCGTCTTCCATCATTTTAAAAGTGGGAAGGGCTTCCAAGAACAAAAAACGCTATTCTGCCATATACTGGCCTTTGGGCCAGGTTTACCTAGCAGCAGTACTTTTGTGAGTGGGAGCTGGCTTGGTGGCACGAAAAACTTCCCACAATTCCCCTAGAGCTTTGGGAGTGGTCTAAGGCATTTTGGGAAATCTCACTGGTCCTAAGTCAGCCAGCCGAAAATGGAAAGTATTATGTGCATGTTAATCATAATGTCAACTTGCAAAGCTTTCAAGTTGCCATGAGCAGGAGGGAGGGAGAACTGAAGTGAATTCCATACATTCTTTCTGACCACAATCAGAAGGAGGGTGTTAGGTTTCACAGCCAGCCAAAGTGGTTAATTGGAGAATGTGATTTATGACATGGCCAGAGAGGAGGGGAGAGACAGGGTCATAGGGGAACGTAAATCTACGTAGGATCAGTCCTAACTGCATCCGAGTATTGCCGGAATGGTGCTCCTAATAAATGAATATATTTCCTTTGAAGTTTGGATCATGGCTCATGAGTTAATTAGGGCATCTTTCGGAAACTTGACACATGACTTCAAAAGCAATTCCATGAGGATGCTGAATAGTCTTGCTAGCAATGGAGATGCCTTCAGTTTTACCCTGGGAAGGACACCATCATCAAGTCCTTCTTAGCCAAAGGTTAGGACCTACTTGAGAGCGGCCACATCTTGGGAGATGTTGATCTTGTCCGTCACCTCCTGCAGCTTCATTGTGTTCTGACGGGCCAAGTGCTCCAGAGCTGAAAGGATATGGGCAGGAGGATGGGTACCGACAACTTTCTGTAGGAAGATGCAAAACAATAGCTGAGATATTATCCTTCATCCAACCTCTATGCCGAACCTTTATTGCTTGCAGCTAGCAATATCCGATGTCTGGACTAAAGAGCCATGGTGGCGCAGTGGTTAGAGTGCAGTACTTGCAGGCTACTTCTGCTGCCTGCCGGCTGCCTGCAATTTGGCAGTTCAAATCTCACCAGGCTCAAGGTTGACTCAGCCTTCCATCTTTCCGAGGTGGGTAAAATGAGGACCCAGATTGTTGGGGGCAAGAGGCTGACTCTGTAAACTGCTTAGAGAGGGCTGTAAAGCACTGTGAAGTGGTATATAAGTCTAACTGCTATAGACTGCTTGTGCAAGTTGAGTTGCATGCTCACGCATGTGCGCCTGCCAGATGCTCACATGGCCCGGTTTTGAACAGGCCATGGCCCAGTAGTGGGCTGTGGCCCAGGGTTTGAGGACCCCGATAGAGCAGATCTTACAAGTATGGGTTACCAAGAGATCAAATGCAACCCCCCGAGTGGACTGGGTTAAAAATGTGGATTTTTTTTGTCTGGAGCATAAAATAATCATCTTGATCCCTGCAGAGATTTATGGCTCTTATTATATCATTGTGGTTTATCATTATGTATTCTTCTTGTGTTGGATTTTAATCTTGTATTTGCTACTCAGAATATTTCCGACTCTCAGAATTCCACCACCAGTCTTTAATTCTGAGAGCTGAAGTCCACCCATTTTTCAAGTTGCCAACTTTGAGAAGTACAGATATAAATGTTTCCGCTGTATCTAGCAGCCTTGCTATTGTCCGGTTAAGCATTCTACTTTTCTTAAGGAAGGCGTAAAGAGCATCTCCAAGGCTAAAAGTGATTGTTTACCAGTGCTGTGTACTGCAGTGCTTTAGGTTCTCTTTATCTGACTGAACTACAGCTCCCAGCAGCCCCAGCCAAAGGGACCTGGGAACAATGTCTGTAAGGCATCAGTTTTCCCCACTCTTGCTCCAGTATGCTAGTCTGCCTTACCTCCACGGTGCTCAGCCAATGTTGGTAAGTAATATTCATCTCTTCCTCATCTGTCTCTCTGCCAGGAAAAAGCAAAGAAACACATGGATAGGATAGGATAGGATAGGATAGGATAGGATAGGATAGGATAGGATAGGATAAGATAGGATAGGATATGTGGTGGATGTGCCCAGAAGCTAGAAATTACTGGAATAAAATTAAGATATGGTTGGAAGAAATGATTCAACAACATATTGACTTAAAACCTGAGCTATTCCTATTGGGTATCCTTCCAAAGAAAATTAGCAAAGAAAATATATATTTGATTATACATGTAATAACTGCAGCAAGGATAGTATTTGTGCAAAGATGGAAAGCAGGGAAAATCCCTTCGGAAGGAAAACTGATTTAAAAAAAATAGATTGTGCAGAAATGAATAGACTAACCTTGAAAATTAGAGAGAGAAGACACAGAATATTTTAAGATATGGGGACAATTTTATCATTGGTTAGAAAATAGATATGGACAAATAATTTAATAATTAAATAAGACAATGATATAATAAAAATATTGTATTGTAAGAAGGATGTTTTTTTTAAAAAAAAGGAAGAAAAGAGGAGTAACAAGAGGAAGAAGAAGTTACTGAAGAAACACCGAGATGACACACGGAATGACTGATGTATTATGTGTTTGTTTGTGTATAAAACAATAAAAAACTTTTTACAAAATAATAATAATAATAGACTAGACTAGACTAGAATAACAGAGTTGGAAGGGATATCGGAAGTCTTTTAGTCCAATTCCCTGCTTAGGCAGGAAACCCTACACCACATCAGAACTCTAAAGAGGAAGCTAGTGTGTGGGTGTGTTCACACATGACATTAGACCTGTCTTGTTTTCTAAGCCAAAGGCACCATTTGCAGGAAGGTGAGAGGAAGGGGCCTTACGGAGAGCTCCCAGATATGCTGTTTTCAAAGAGAGTCTTCAGGAATTGGAAACGCAGCTGGCAGCTTTCCTGGACATCCCTCTAGGGGGAAAAAAAAAGGCATAAAACCTGGGTTGAGCCTTTTATACAATCTGTTTATCTTTCACTTTTCCATTCTTTTAGACTTTACTTTTTTTTGTGGTTGTTAACCAGCGCAAGAAAGTTGGTATTCAAATATTCAAAATACCTGTGTTGTCTGCATCTTAAACTGAAGGGCAACCATTTGCACAGACTCATCCCCTGCGCCTGTCTTCCAACAGGGAAGGGACACAGGGCAGAAAACATCCTGCAGCCAAGAAGACTCCACACCCATTTGCACTCCTCAGGTGACCCTGAGGACACAGACAAACCTCCAAGTGGCCTCAACGACTCTCTAAAAATGTCTATGAAGGTTCTCAGTCATCCAGGTCATGGTTGTCCCAAAGGTGCTTTTTTCAAGAGGCACCTGGATGCAACTCTACTACTACTACTACTACTAATAATAATTCTTCTTCTCCTTCTCCTTCTCCTTCTCCTTCTTTTTCCTCCTCCTCCTCCTCCTCTTCTTCTTCTTCTTCCTCTTCTCCTCCTCCTCCTCCTCCCTTCTCATCCAAGAAGCTTAAGGAGGCCATCTATGTCAAAATTGTACAGCCCTCTCTCAACAGAGGGGGAGGGACAGGACATCATTTCTCTCCAATCTACAACAGTCCTTGCAACAGTTCCAAGAAGGCGCCACACCAATTTGCCCCACTCAGGTGACCCTGATGACACAGATAAAACCTCTAGGTGACCTTAACAACCTTCTAAAAGGATGCAAATGACCAGCTGTCTGCAAGGAGGATAAATCCTTCCATTCCCCACCATCCAGTCAGAGCTGAAGAAGCTTCTTGGATGAGAAACAAAATGCCTTCGAAGAAAAAACAAAAAAAGTCCAGTTGGCTCTTGAAAATGGCACCTTTGGGACGACTCTCTAAAAAGAAGGCAAATGACCATCTGTCGGCAAGGAATATAAGTCCTTCCATTCCCCACTACCATCCAGTCAGAGCTGAAGAAGCTTCTTGGATGAGAAGCAAAACGTCTTCAAAGGAAAAACAAGAAAGTCCAGTTGCCTCCCTTCATCTGGGTCAGATGAAGATGCCAAAGGTCAGGTGGAAGCAGCAGGGGCAGCAGAGTGTCCAAAAAATGCAGAGATGGCAAAGGGGCAGTTGAAGCATATCCTGTAGTTATTAAATATTGGCGCAGGGGTGCTGCAATGGCCCTAACTTCGAGGACTGGGCACCAAATACCATTAATGTAGTGCTGTTGCAACTTTGAATGATCGCTGAACTTCTTCTCAAAACTGTGGACCCCCGAAGTATAACTTAAAGCCTTTCTCTCTCTCTTTTTTTTCCTTACCAAGACTTCAGGCTCCAAGATGGGAAACCGAGGCTCTGGGTGTCTGCCACCAAAAGCCACGACCGTCTTGGCTTTCCTGAAAGAAAACCACAAGAGAGTTTTAGATGGACCTCTGCTTCCCACGTTTGAAGGCCACAGAGATTCTTCCCCAGGCCAGCTGGCTGAAAAGAGATCAGCTTGGTTCACACATTGTGCTAATTCATAATGGTTCAGAACCGGTTTAGCGAATTTGGTGTCTTCCAGAAACATGGACTTCTACTCCCATAATGCTAATGTCAGGGTTCCAAGTAACACCCCCAACGAAAGAAAACTCCAAGGCTTGAGTTTCCTCAAAGTTCCATTTTATTAGAGATGTCATAGTGGCACATCTGGGAAAACCTAAATCTGAAAGCTTCCAGATTTTCCCCACCCAAAGGAAAGTCCAAGTCCCTGCCCAGCACCTACATGTCCATCACATGGTCCCATTAAAGCATCCCAACTGGAGATGCCTCCCAGTCACACCACTTTAGGTGTAGGGCAAGATGTCCTTGACTCTCTGAGAAAGGAATGTTATCATGACTACATATCACCCATGCTCCATACAATCCCCCCTCCCAGTTTCCCACAGTAGTAAATGTGGCAGGCCTGAAGATCCAACGAAAAAGATGGCTTCCAGGCCTTATAGCCTTAATCATTCTAGGATTCCACCCTTCTGGAAATTACCACCTAGGGAAGGCTGCCTTAGCATATTACATGAATCCAGTGTATTGTGTCTACTCATTAATCCATGGTTAATCAAGCCACAGTTTAGTACATGTGACCAGGGGTGAAATGCTCCCGGTTCGGACCGGATCGCCCGATCCGGTAGCGATGGAGACGGGTGGTTCGGAGAACCGGTACCAAAAATCCCTGCCCTCCCCCCATGCCCAGCTGAGCCGCACAATCATCAGAGGCTTTTTTTAAACTTTTAAAAGCATTTTTTCTACAACCTCTTCGGCCAAAAATGCTTTTAAAAGTTAAAAAAAAAAAAAAAGCCTCTGATGATCACGCGGCTCAGCTGGGATCTTCAAAGGCTTTTAAAAGAAAAAAACCCTTTTTTTCTTTTAAATGCCCCTGACGATCCAAGCTGAGTTGCCTGATCGTCAGAGGCATTTAAAAGAAAAAAAAGCCTCTGCCAATCAGGCAACTCAGCTGGGATCATCAGAGCCTTTTGAAAGCATTTTTTTACAACCTCTTCGCTGAAGAGGTTGTAGAAAAATATGCTTTTAAAAGTAAAAAAAAAATAAAAAAATTGGCCACGCCCACCCAGTCACTTTCCCCCCCCCAAGCCACGCCCATAGAACCGGTAGTAACAAATTTTAGATTTCACCACTGCATGTGACCCAAAATCACTCTTTCTTCCTCCATCACACTTGTGCTCCACCAGCTAGGAAGCTGCCGGATCCCCTCTTGCCAAGGAAGTAGAGGGATCTAGAAAGTGAGCCCGTACTTCTCCATCTCTTCCAACTGCTCCAAACGTCCCTTGACCTGGGCACCTTTCTTGTGCAACTGCTGGCGTTCTGCTGTGACCCGTGTGGAGTAGGCCTTCAGGAGCAAACTGCGTCGTTTGGCATCCCAGATCTGAGTCGTTTCCAGGGTGACCTCTAGATGCCAAGGAGAACAATACGTTGCAAATCAGAGTGTGTGCAAACATGAACAGCTGAGCCTACAGCAGAGGCTCACTTGTTTCTATGGGATGTGTTTCGATGGCTGGGATTCAGCCAAGGGGGCTTATAATCACAGCCCAACCGTCCTCCGAAGAGTTTCGTGATGGAGTCAAAAGTGGTGGGTTTTTTTGCTGTTTGCTCTCAACTCACCGCTGGCTACGAACTCACGCTGTGCCAATTCTATCTGAAGGTCCAACTGCTGATCTTCTTCCTTCAAGCGAGAGATGGCCTGGATTAGATGCTTGCGACGTTCTTTATCAGATTCAGAGGCACTGGGCTTGACCTGAGAAGAAAGATCAAACTGCAACGTTACCAAGAAGGCCCCACTATCCATCTTTTAGCTCTTGCTTCCTACTTGAGCAGGGTCATAGAATTATCCCTCCTGTTCCTTCTTTCAGAGGTCAAAAGTTGGAAGCCCATGCTTGCTGCGATGGCCATAGCTGACACTTCCATCTTCCCTGAGTCTTCATGCCACCCGGTTTTGGGTCGACGTTCAGGGCTCAGGACCCTGGACAGCACCCCGGTATCCAGGGAGCTGGTGGATTTTTAAAGCAGATTTAAGTTAATGTCAGGGTTCCAAGTAACACTCCCAACAAAAGAAAACTACGAGGCTTGAGTTTCCTCAAAGTTCCAGCCATCCAGGTGCAGGGCAAAATGTCCTTGACTCTCTGAGAAAGGAATGTTATTATGACTATACTAGCTGGATACCCATACTTCGCTACAAAACTATATGATGGGGCTTGACAAATTGATAGTTACAGCATGAAACTTAATGAGTAGTTACAATAGGCCTCTCTTCTACCCTTCTCTCCCTCAGCCTTGCACCACAGAGGCCTCTCCTATCTTATCCCCTTCTCTCCCTCAGGCTGGCCCCATTGATCCTCTCCTATCCCCTTCTCTCCCTCAGCCTTGCCCCACAGAAGTCTATCTTATCCCCCTTCTCTCCCCCAGCCTTGCCCCACATGTCTATCACATGGTCCAATCAGGAGCCTGAGTGGCGCAGCAGACTAATGCTACTGTTAAAGGTAGTATTTAGCTTCCAGCTGCCTGAAATTACTGCGAGTTCAATTCTCACCAGGCTCAAGGTTGACTCAGCCTTCCATCCTTTCTAAGGTAGGTAAAATGAGGACCCGGTTTGTGGGGGCAATAAGCTGACTTTGTATAAAATATACAAAAGTATGAAGGCTATTGCTTAACGCATTGTAAGCCGCCCTGAATCTCCAGAGAAGGGCAGCATATAAATCAAATAAAAAAAAAAAAATCAAAGCACCATCCCAACTGGAGATGCCTCCCAGTTCCAGCCCTCCAGGTGCAGAGCAAGATGTCCTTGACTCTCTTGAGAAAGGAATGTTATTATGACTATATATGACCCGTGTTACACACAATATCCCCCCTCCCAGTTTCCCACAGTAGTAAATGTGGCAGGCCTGAAGGCCCAATGCAAAAGGTGGCTTCCAGGCCTGACAGTAATTTTTTTTTTTTTAATTTGATTTATATGCCGCCCTTCTCCGAAGACTCAGGGCGGCTTACAATGTGCTCAGCAATAGCCTTCATCCTTTTGTATATTTTATACAAAGTCAGCTTATGGCCCCCACAACTGGGTCCTCAATTTACCTACCTTAGAAAGGATGGAAGGCTGAGTCAACCTTGAGCATTGGCGAGATTCGAACCCTGCAGTAATTGCAGGCAGCTGGTCTTAATAACCAGCTTAATAACAGGGTGCCTTAGACCACTGTACTACCAAGGCTCAATTTTCTTTGGAGAACCAGAAAAGTTCTTGCAGAACCTGTCACAGAAGACGGCCCATGTCATCCACACCTCTTTACAGTAGCTGTCAACAGTTCTGAGACAGGGATCTTTCCAAATGGTGGAAGCCATATCCTTGACTCTCCTGCTATTGCTGGATTCCAAATGCCACCAGCTGAAGGTTGATGGAGGACATAGTAGTCTAACATCAAGAGAGCCACACTCCCCCCACCTTTAGCCCAAACCTTTGGAGACAAAGCAAAATTTTCACCTCGTTTTGTTCTTACTCACCTCGCCCTTTTCCATCTGCTGATACCTATGTGACAAAAAATAGGATCAAGGACACAAATCTTTAACTTGTTTGGAAATCCTTTGGGATCTCTTTCTCTTTCCACCATTAGCAGCAGCAGATTTAAACAACCGAGGTGTTCTAAGATTCTATTGTTCTTGCAATACTTTTCATTGTTTTGCTCCAACCAATGGGAAGTATTGGGGGAGAAATAATCATGATAGTTGAGGGTTTCGGGGTTAACCTCTCAAGCCCATGAAGGGAACGAGAGATGAAAACTGGACTCTATTCAGAAAAAGGGTTAAGGAAAGGATACCACAGTAAGTTCCCACGAATCTTCTTGACAGTCCTGCAAGACAAGCAAGATGAAAGGGTTCAACAGAGCACAGGATACACCCTTGAAAAATGTGCTTAAGGTGCAGAATAATATGGGCCAAACTAACAGAAGTCAGCCCCATTGCAAAGAATGTTGTGCTGGAGTGCTATCTACTGTATTTTTCGGACTATAAGATCCACCAAAGTATAAGACGCACCAAGATTTCGAAGAGGTAAACAAGAAAAAAAAGTTTCTGCCCTCCTCGGCCCCCAGGAGCACTCTGTAGGCATCCCAAACCCTCTGTGTGTCCCATTTTACGAAAAATGGGCCCATTTTCCGCAAAAATTGGATGCACAGAGGGTTTGGGAGGCCTGCAGAGTGCTCCTGGGGGCCGAGGAGGGCAAAATCACCTCCGTTTTTGCGAAAAACGGGCCCATTTTTGGCCTCCCAAATCCCTCACGAGTCACGTTTTTGCCCTCCCCAACCCTCAGGTCTCCCCAACCCTCTGCGCATCCTGTTTTTTGCGAAAAATGGGTCTGTTTTTCACAAAAACAGGACACGTGTGGCAGGGTTTCTTGAGGCCCAAAATAGCTGTATTCGGTGTATAAGACGCACCAACATTTCCACCCTCTCTTAGGGGGAAAAAGTGTGTCTTATACTCCAAAAAGTACGGTATATACTTGGAAAACAAAGGGAAAGTGACACTGTGGCTGGATTTACATATCAGGCTAGGCTACGCTAATGCTCAACTTGTGGTTGAATTAAATTGAATTTAAAAAGGAAACAACAAAGGAATGGAAATGAGGGGAGGAGTAGAGAGGGGAAAGTAGGGTAGTTGGGAGGTGAGAAGAAGAGAAAAGAATGGGAAAAGGAGAGGAAGAAGGAAGGGGAAAGAAGAACAGGAGAGAGGGTAAGAAGGGGAGGAAGAAGAGAGGAGAGGGGAAAGAGGAAAGGAAGTAGGAAAGGAAAGGAGAGGAGGAATGAGGAAAGAAGAAAGAAAGAAGGAGAAAGAAGGGAAGGGAAAAAGGAAAGGTTGTAGTAAGACAAAACAAGGAAATGGTAAAAGAGCAGACCCGAACAAATAATTAATTAATTGCCTAATGGGAGTTAAAGAAGATGAACGAACAATGTATAAGGATGGATAAAAGACTGTATATTTAAACATGTTGATGAAAAATAAAAAAAAATTTTTTTCAAAAAAAAAAAAAGAAACTTTGACAGGTCACCAAATGAGCTCTTTTAAGTCAAGGACTACCTGTATCCGATCTCCATCTTTGTATTCCTACCTCTGATGATGAACGTGGCGGATGATATATTTCCAGATGTCAGCACACTGACCTGAGCACATCCTGGGAGGGGTGAAGAATGAGAGGAAGAAGTAAAAATCCATGATGTTGATAATTATATCATACAAGTTCACATATTTCTCAAAGTATTTCCATTTGTGAACTCCAGGCTATTAGAACTATACCCATAATCCTATCCTGAAACAGTATTGATATTGCTGTCTGTTAACTTTATTTACTACTAATTAATTATTTGGATTAAATTATGATTTTATTGTACTTGTTTCTTAACTTGTGTTCGCCGCCCTGAGTCCTTCAGGAGAATGGCGGCATATAATACATGTAATAAATAAATAAATAAATAAACTATGCTGTAAACCAGCATCTGCATTTCCTGCGTTGGATGAGGAGAGTACATGTTTCTCCTTCTATCCTGGCCACTTTTTACAGAGGCAAGATTGAGAGCGTTTTTTAATAAACCGCATCACTGTTTGGTTTGGTGGCAGCAGTGCCTCAGATAGAAAGTCCATACAGAGAGTGGTGAGGACAGCCGAGAAGATCATAGGAAAGTCACTTGCTGGTATTCAGGATGCTGCTTATAAGTGCTATGTGCTTAGCCCTCAAAGCATTGTTAGAGACCCCCCACACACCCACTTCACGGTCTGTTTCTGTTGCTCCACTCTGGGAGGAGATTTCAAAGCATTTGTAGCAGAACTACCTGATTCTGTAACAGCCTTGTTCCCTATGCCATCTGTCTGGTAAACTCGCAAGATTTGTTTTCTCGCCACGTGCATGTATACATATGAACTAGACTGTGTTGTTTCTCTGTGCCATATCATATATGTGGATATATGCATAATTTTGTACTTATTTATTTTGTCATGGTTTATGTAGTGTATATTGGAAGTGACCCTTTCGAGAGCTGCATGCAACAAAATGTCATTCTAATGCATAATTTTGTATATATTTATTTTGTCATGGTTTATGTAGTGTACATTGGAAGGGGTGACCCTTTGAGAGCTGCATGCAGCGAAATGTCATTCTAATGCATAATTTTGTATTTATTTATTTTGTCATGGTTTATGTAGTACATTGGAAGGGGTGACCCTTTGAGAGCTGCATGCAGCGAAATTTCATTCTAACGTTATGCCGATTAGTGTAATATTCAAAACCACAATAAAGTTATTCTAAGTTCTAAAACTGCATGACCAACTGTATATAAGAAACGGATTCGTCATTGGCAATCGAGGGCCAATTATTTTTAATTAATAATTTAATAATAATTATTAAAAATAATAGTTCAGTCATCTTTTCCTGGCTAGGTGGCTCAGTGGCTAAGAGCCTGTCGATCAGAAAGGTCGGCAGTTCGAATCCCTAGTACAGGTCTCCTGCGTGAGCAGGGGAGGGGTTGGACTAGATGACCTCCGAGGTCCCTTCCAACTCTTGTTACTGTTGCTGTTAACCCATATTAAGGTGCAAGCGAACATAGCCCTGGTAGGAGAGGAGCGTCCCACCCTCTCTAGCCCAGCCTTGCAATGCTTCACCGCGCTTCGTATAGGTTTATTCTCACTGCACTAGACTGGGGAAGAGCAACTTTGCACATGCTCAGAAACACTCTCGCCCCCTTCCCACCCACCTGCGCGCGTCTCTCTCGGAGGGAACTTTGCCCGGAGGAAGCTTCATCTCTTCAGCCGCCCAGCGCCTGAGGTCCTGAGCCAGCGATGCCCCCGTCTTCCCCGCCCTCCTCGCCGCCGCATTCTCCCCGCTCGCCATCGCCCGAAAAGCCGCCTCAAACTCCGGCGCCCTTCGAGACGGACTCCGCCTCCCGCAGAGCACGCTGGGAAATCCCTCTTCTCCCCTCCCCATCCCGCGCGCGGGGCTTTCCTGAGGCATTTTTATGGTGAAGGCCCTTCGCGATGCCCTATGGGACGTGTAGTTTGTTGGCCACCCGCGGCTAGGCTGAAGAGCCAAGAGGGAGGGAGGGAGGGAGGTGGAGTTAACAGCTGTCATTGAGCAACGGCTGTTTCCGCGGGGGGCGACGGGAGTTGTGGTCCAAGAGCCTGTGGAGGGGAAAAAAAAAATCTCTTGAAAAGTCCCATAGGGAGAAGACGTTGGACTCTTGCAATTGGATTGTGTTTTTTTATTATTATTATTTGTGCCTGAGAGTTGTAATAAACGGAGCAAAGTGTTTGTCAAATTAAAAGAAACTATGGTTTAAAAAAGTAATAAAGCTAAGCCCGCTTAAGTCTCTTAAGTGCAGGGGTCTTGAACTTAGGCACTTTAAGACTTGTGGGCTTCAACTCTCAGAATTCCCCAGCCAGCCATGCTGTGGACTTCAGTCTCTTAAATGTAGGGGTCTCCAACCTTGGCACTTTAAGACTTGTGGGCTTCAACTCCCAGAATTCCCCAGCCAAAACATGCTGTGGACTTCAGTCTCTTAAATGTAGGGGTCTCGAACCTTAGGCATTTTAAGACTTGTGGGCTTCAACTCCCAGAATTCCCCAGCCAGCCATGCTGCTGGGGCAGGGTGGGTTTTATTTATCTTTACTACTGGTTTGCAACGGGATCACGCACGCGTGCTCACTTCCCTTGCATGCATGCCATGTTTCTCCACATGCGCAGATGCCTGACATCCGGGGCAGTAGATGGAGCCTCCTGCTGGTTTTACTACCAGTTCTTGCGAACCGGTCTGAACCAGGGGCAACCCACTGCTGGTAGGGGGAAAAGCCTTTCATATCTGGGTTGCAAAAACCCAAACAGCCATTTGCTGGAAAGAGAGAAGCAGATTTTTCTGTACTGTTTGCCTTTGGTCCTGTTTGGAGTTTTGCAACCTACATATAGCAGCTCCTCCTATATAGAAAACAGTGGAGTTTTCTCATTTATTAGGGCACTTTAAAACTCCCAGTTGTACTCAACCAAACACCTATGAATGAATGCAAGTCTTACAAAATGCCACGCATCCTTCTCTCCAATGAAAGAAATCTTTGTTAAATTCTGTGTCTTTGGTTCTTTTCAGTGAAGGGGGTGATGCCCACAGCCTTTGGAATGCAAAGTATGTGCTTTACCAAGGAGCTGTGATTTGTTTTCTAGAACCATCCCTCTTATTTTCAATGAAGATTCTGAAAAACAGAATGCCCTTTTCCCCAAAGCCAAGGTTCAAGCAAACCGTCTGCCAAATCAAATGGAATTTTTATTACGGTCAAAACCAGCATAAGAAGGGCGATTTAGAGATGATTAAAAAGTACAGCTACATTGGAGTCTTACAAAATAATGAAAAGCTAGAAGATAGAAAATATATGTATTAAAATAGAATAGAATAGAATAACAGAGTTGGAAGGGACCTTGGAGGTCTTCTAGTCCAACCCCCTGCTTAGGCAGGAAACCCTACACCACTTCAACATCCAACATCTTCTTAAAAACTTCCAGTGTTGGAGCATTCACACAACTTCTGGAGGCAAGCTGGTTCCACTGGTTAATTGTTCTGTCAGGAAATTTCTCCTTAGTTCTAAGTTGCTTCTCTCCTTGATAAGTTTCCACCCGTTGCTTCTTGTCCTGCCCTCAGGTGCTTTGGAGAATAGCTTGACTCCCTCTTCTTTGTGGCAGCCCCTGAGATATTGGAACATTGCTATCATGTCACCCCAGTCCTTCTTTTCATCAAACTAGACATACCCAGTTCCTGCAACTGTTCTTCATATGTTTTAGCCTCCAGTCCCCTAATCATATTCGTTGCTCATCTCTGCACTCTTTCTAGAGTCTCAACATCTTTTTTGCATCGTGGCGATCAACACTGGATCCAGTATTCCAAGTGTGGCCTTACCAAGGCATTATAAAGTGGTAGTAACACTTCATGTGATCTTGATTCATATACAAAAAGAAAACAAGAGTGTAAAAGAATCCAAAAGAAGAGGTAGAAGCATTAGATGGGAGAGTATAAGGAAACATAAAGGTTAGTATGTGGATATTATGTGATGGGATGTACATCTTCAAGAGCAATGAGGAAAGGTTTTGGCAACATTTGAGTTTTCTCAGAAAGAAGCCCATATTAAGAGAGAGTGCAGTCTGGTTCCAGATATGGAGGAGAGAAGAAGTTCAGCTGAGCCACATCTTAAAATCTTTCAGGATATACTTAGCATATTAAAAGGTTATAGCTTTAGTTTGGCAAGATTCTGTCCATTAGGTGTAAGCAAATGAAGGATTGAACTCCGTGGGATCTAGCTGGGTCATCTCTGAGTTTGGGCCTCATAGGAAGACTACAGATACTCCTTGACTTACAACAGTTCGTTTAGTGACCGTTCAAAGTTACAATAGCACTGAAAAAAGTGACTTATGACCGTTTTTCACACTTACGACCTTTGCAGTGTCCCTGTGATCAAAATTCAGATGCTTGGCAACTAACTAGTATTTATGATGGTTGCAGTGTCCCGGAGTCATGGGAATCACTTTTGTGACCTTCTGACAAGCCGAGTCAATGGGGAAACCAGATTCACTTAACAACCGTGTTACTAACTTTACAACCACACTGATTCACTCAACAACTGTTGGGGCAAGTAAAGTTTTAAAATGGGGCAAAATTCACTTAACCACTCTCTTGCTTAGCAACAGGAATTTTGGGCTCAATTGTCGTAAGTCAAGGACTACCTGTATCAAATTACAAAGCAGTCTAATATGGCAAACTAGATGCTTATTAAGTCTAGTTTATGGCACAGGTCATTATCCAATGAATTTAAAGATTTTCCCTGTCTAGTCATGACCGTCTCAATGGGGCAGTGCTAATCTGTGATTCTCAGCTGAAGGAGCCTGTGTTGTCTGAGATATTTCTATCATCATATATTGCTTAACGCATTGTAAACCGCCCTGAGTCTCCGGAGAAGGGCGGCATATAAATCAAATAAAAATAAAAATAAAATAAAATCATGTGGCCGGCATGAAAATACGGAATGTGGTAACCTTCTGCTGAAGTGGTACCTATTTATCTACTTGCATTTGTATGCTTCCAGAGTGGTGTGGTGGCCTAGAGGTGGAGCTCTTGCTTCACAATCAGGAGGCTGTGAGTTCGATCCTAGGTAGAAGCAGATATTGCTCTCTCTGGGCACACTGAGAATATATCTGATGAAAAAAACTCTGCATTGGCAACAGGAAGAGCATCCGGCCATTAAACACTCTGCTAGCTCCATTCAGTTGCCTAGACTCCACCCCACAAAGGATTATGGGTTTGTTAAAGGAGTATGATGATTTGTATGCTTCTGAATTACTAGGTTATCAAAAAAAAATGGCTTGAAGGATGATTTTTTTTGAAAATGAAAATGTTTTCTTTGGCATTTTGATTTTTTTTTTCTCTTGGAATATAGTCCTCTGACATAAACTTTTCTTTGGGTTGCTTTGTCCTAACCTCAAAACAAAATGCATTTCCTATTTCATGCAAACTATAAGTGAATTCTGCCTTTTCTTATACATTATATTTATGATAAAAACAGACTATGGTGATGTGAATAAAGTAGGAATTATAGCAAATAAGAAATAATGTGAATAAAATAGGAATCATACAGAGTCAGATATATGGGCTCTGGGGGACCCTCTCTATTCACATTATTATAAGAGAGGAAAGTGCTTGTTGGAAATTACATTAACAAACAGTTAAACCTCATTAAGTGGTAATATATCTTCTGAGACCTAGATGTCACGAAAGGACCGCCATATGGAAAACATCTGAGTGACCTCACTATGAATGACACAAGACTTATATGTTACAAAGAGTTACTTAATCCAATAAATTTACCCAAGGACAATAGTAACTCTCCCATTAGTAACTACAAGCACTTAAGGAAAAGTTGTGTGGCTAAGAAACTAAAATTAATGCTTTAAGTAATTAGATGAACTTATTATCCAATGTATGTAACCATATAGGGAAAATCGGATGTATGATCTCATATTAACCATATATGGAAAATGTATGATCTCACTGAATCCTTTGTCTTAGAAATGTATAAAACCAGTTGTATCAGGGTTCTTCCCTTGTTCAAAGCTTCATGTACAAAACTGGCTCTGAACCTTGCGCAATAAAACTGTCTCTGGCTGACCTAGGAATGTTGCTTGGTCCTTCCACTCCACAACAATGGCAGTGTGATGAACAACCCTTGGCTTTCCATCCATCGGTTTGAAAAACAACTCTCTCTCTCAGGTGAAACATATATTCCTCCACATTAGAACTGTTGTTTTAAATGAAGAAAATATTTCTTATTATTAGGATTGAAAAGCGAAGTGTGTTGGAGGGGATTTGGCACAAACCAATTCTAAAATACTTTATTTTTTGGAGTATAAGATGCACCTTCCCCCCCCCCCAGAAAGAGTGAAAATCTGGGTGCGCCTTATACACCGAATGTAGCCCCGCCCAGCTTCTCAAACGGAGGTTTCAGAGCTGAAAAAAGCATCAGAAACGAATCTTCAGAAAAGAAGCCCCCAAACAGAGCTTCAGAGGCTTTTTTTTCTGAAGCTCTGTTTCGGAGGCTTTCAGAGGCAAGAAAAGGAAGTTTTTTCTGAAATGGAGTTTCAGAAGTTTCAGAGGCAGAAAAAAGAGCAAAAAAAAAGCAAGGCACAGAGCTCACAACCAAGGAACCTGTTGCTAAAATTCACCTCTGGGAACAGCTGATTGGGGGTATTTCGGGAGGCCGATCCACCTGCCAATCAGCTTTTTTCTTATTTTCCTTGCCAAAAACTAAGGTGCGTCTTATACTCCCGTGTGTCTTATACTCCGAAAAATACAGTAACCTCAATAAAACTAAGATGCAAGGAGAGAAAAT